CCCGACTGCTGTTCGCTGCATTGCTTAGCGCCTCGATCGGCTCGACTGTTGCTGCTACTGCCTGCTTCCTCCAACAAACCACTCGACAAATACAACATACCCCTTCTGAAGCGAAAGGGGTATAACAACTCTTGCCTGATAAGGCAGGCTACGACGACGTAGAGTATCGAGCGAGCGAGCAAACAAAAGCCCAAGGAAGTCAAAGTGCAATGCAGCATAAAAAATGCAGCATTGAGAAGGAAGTGGAAGTGGAAATGGCTGTAGATGGGATAGGGGACGGGGACGGGGACGGGGACAGGGACAGGAACTGCACGGAGACTGCGAACAAGAGCAGACGCGTCGAGTGCATTGACAGCTGACAGCAAAGAGGCTGAGCAGAGGCTCCTCCAAGTTATGCATACGAGTGCGAGTACGAGTACGGGTATGTGTGCATGGATGGGGCCCATGTCTTGGATGGGGGAAGGGGGAGTGGTGTGTGGTGTTGGCTGCTTTCTTTTTCAAAATTGCTTGTTTACTTCAAAGCAAGCAATTCCTGTAGCATCAGCTGCGTCATGGCGCAAAACAATGCTGTCACTTGGGCGGGCGGGCGTCCCATCAGCAGGGCCATGAAAGCAGGGAGTGTGCTCCTGCTGCTCCTTGAGACTTGTCCCCGAAGTTGTGTTCTTTTTCCTTCGACATTCCCGAGCGGATATTGCTAGGGAAATTGATTGAAAGTTTGAAGCATCTAAAAAATAATGGTAATGAGATTGTTTTGCTAGCTGCATGGCACATGGAAAAGAGATTGTTAAAGGGAAATCCCCGCCTCGTCCCCAAGAGCAATAATTATAAATAGTGCTCGAGAGAGAGGGGGAGAGAGAGAGTCTGTCTGTCTGTCAGTCAGTCAGTCAGTGCGATTAAGCATCAAGCCTCGATGCGTTTGCTTTGTGAATGTTCTGTCAAATGTTATAAATATGCCTGCATTATGCCTGCCTCGATGCTGATGAAAATATCGTCCACCAGGCTCTACCTCTCCCTCTCCCTCTCCCTCTCCATCTCCCTCTTGAGGACTGGAGATTCGAGCTGGAGTGTTCTCCTGGTTGACCTGGTTGGATCGAACTCGAACGGAACAGCGTAGAGGTGCATAACAAATGGCCAGCAGATAACAATGGATGATGGGTACAACAAAAGCATTGGAGAGATAGAGAGGGTTGTGTTCAAGTGCCAGTCAGTGGCACTGGCAGAGAGAAGTTTGATTGAGTCCCTGCGAGGAGGATGAATCGATGAAGCTCTACGATAGAGAACACGAAATATGTATTTCAGTTAAAGTCCTGCCAAAAGATACTCCCCCAAGGCAGGAAGATGTTTAATTGCGCGTAGATTTTTACAATTTTTAATTTTGGCAAATCTGTCAGTGAAACGAGAGGAGACAGAGTAAACAGGACAGACAGGACAGATGGGCGGCCACATAAATTACTCCGGAAGGAGACCGAGACTGAGACCAAGAAACCCCCCCCCCCTCCCCCCCACCCCCTTCGTCCCGTCACGACGACTACAAAGTGACATATGAGCCACCGGCCAAAAACCGAGTCCGAGGCTCGTTATATTTTTGTTCACTGCTGCAATGCCTGTGCCCAGGGGTCGCGTCGCTTTCTTTCTCTTCGTTCTCTCTGATTTCTTTTTTCTGTGTGCCTTTTAATTTTGTTGCCAGCGAAACAAAGTAACGCAAATACTTAGTAGGAGCCAGAGATTTACAGAAGAGGGAGAGAGAGAGAGAGGGAGCTCTTGTCAAACATAAGCAGGACTGTCGATTTCGCTTTTTTCCCGTCAGATCTAGCTTTTTTTGAAGGACAATGCCAAGGCCAAGCGGGAGTTCTTAATTTTTTATATACAGTGGGCAGCAAAAGTGAGTACATACTCATAATCACTGACTTTCGCCTCTCATAACAGGCAAACGAATAAAGCCAAACAAACCAAATTTGTTCCCCATATAAATACTTGTATTCTCAACAAATAAGCAATAATTACAAGAACGAGTAAAAATTTTTCAAAGAATGAAAAGTAAAAAACCAAAAGATCTCGCATGTACTCGGTTTTGCACTTTTTCATAAAAATTAAAGTAAATCATAATATTAACATTTTGTGCATAGTAGATATTACTTTTTTAATACGGTTTGGAATGTTCTCTATCAAATTCCCAAAAATATCTTTTGGAATTCGATTGCATTCCGCATCTATACATTCCCAGGGATCGCCTTGGTTAGATGGCGCTGATTCGTTGTGCTCAAGCCGTCGTTTCACGATTGACCGTAGGTTTTCAATCGGATTAAGTTCGATTCTTTGAGATAACCACTCCAGCAATTTAAAATTTTGATTAACCGCAATTTGCTTCGGATTCCTGTCTTGTAAAAAAGTTAGTTAACTTCGGGATAAATACATTTCTCCGGAAAATTAGAAGTTGTAGTGTTAGTGTAGAAGTTGTAAATAGTCCTCTCTGAACTGAATAACATACATACATAGAGGACCAACGTGCTCCCATGTAAAGCAACTTCAGACCATAGTAATAAGTAATAATATGAAATATTGAAATATTATGGTCTGAATAATCAAAAATATTAATTATTCAATGAAGATCAAGAATAACAATTATTTAATAGAAATCAAGAATACCAATTATAATAATAATTATACAATAAAAATCAAAAATAATAATTATTCAATGAAAATCAAGAATAACAATTATTCAATAAAAATCAAGAATAATAATTATAATAATAGTTATACAATACAAATAAAAATAAGAATTATACAATAAAAATAAAAATAATAATTATTCAATTAAAATCAGAAATAATAATTATTCAATAAATATCAAGAATAATAATTATTCAATAAAAACCAAGAATAATAATTATAATAATAATTATTCAGTAATAGCCCGATCTGGGCGTGCAATCGGGATAGTTTCTCCCATACAAAATACAGCAAGGATGGTAGTTTTCAATAGTTTTATTCATCACAACTTAGCCAAGTAAAAATTAAACAATTGGAAAACATTTCCATCTACTATCTAAATATAGGGACGCGTATATCCTTAATCTATCTAGAGTCTAGTAGGCCGCGTAGCCCCTCCTTTGGTTGCCGTTGTCAAAGTCCTTGCTGTCGATGGCCACGTCGAAGGATGACGATCGCTTCTGATGTTCGGATCTTGCAAGGGGTGCACTCCGGGTCGAAACTGAAGCGCAGCGTTGGATTCGGCGGCGTATGAATGGGCTTCAGGGCTGGTACCAGATTGGAACGACCTTGACCATCCGAATTCGTATCTGAAGCTAATCCTGTAAAAATCCTGTAAACCTACTGTAAAAAACATAAAAATACAAAATTGTTGCAACCATTAATTACGCTTTTTCTTTTTTGGATTTTTTTCTAAATTTGTTCAGCTTTTTTTCGCTTTCTTCAAGTTAAAAACAGCTTTTTTTCCCGTTGAAAAGCTGGCAGCACTGAACATGACCATTGCCATTGCCAAAGCCACAAATCCATGTAATGTCGCTGCTGGCTGTCTTGCTGCCTGTCTTCTTATTTCTCTTAGATCTACGCTTCGCTGCACATGCAAACGTTTGCTTGCCAAAAAAAAAAAGAAAATGAAGCAAGAAAACCAGGATGGGGGGAAAAAAAGGAAAAGGACACACACACACACAAATAACCCATACGTCCTGTCGTCGCATGTCCTCGTACAGCTCCTCCTTCTCTTCGGGCTCTGTGTGTGTCCATTTGAGTGCACAATTTGAAAAGGCTACTTGCCTTCTTGGTAGGGCCTTGGGGCATTGCATTCTCAATGTCTCTGTGTATCTATGTTTTGTGTCTGTGTCTGTGTGTGTGTGCATTAAAATTGTTGCAAAATTGCAACAGCAGTAAATGGACAGCCTTGTCGCTAATGGGGCGCAGCGACTTACCAGGCAAAGTGCACTGAAATGTATATGAAATATCTGAAAAATCTCCTTTCATTTAGTCAAGGATTAGGGATAAAAAAAAACACAATAGAGGAGCGAGTAACGGCCCGATCGAACATCTGAAAATCCTATCCCTTCCTCTATAATTTTTTAATGAAAAGAAAAATGCCTTTCTTTAGTTTTCATTGAAATTTTTGTATGGATTTTATTTGGTTGAGTTCTTCATTCAGTTTTTTTTTTGTTTTGTTTTTTTTTTTGTTGGTTTTTATTGTATTCCTTGTATTTCTCTTTGGATTCATTTTGGGAATTTGGGGCTTGGATTCATTTTCCGTATCATTTCGAGTGCTTAATCGTAACATACATTCATAATTCATTTATCGATTATATGCTTGGTTTTTTTTTTCGTTTTCTTTTAAACTAAATCTTTAATATATTTTACAATTATATTTATATTTTAGTTTTTATTTTTTTTTAGATGCTAGAATTAGCTACACTTATCGTTAGGTTCATATATATTTTTTTAGTGGTTTTTTTTGTTTTCTGGAAACACTTACATGCAGAAATGTACGCGTAAATGTTAGATGGATTCCTTATGTGGTACAATATTGTGAGTTCTTTTGTTTTTCCGTTTCTAATTGATGCAAGAGAAATCACTTTTATTTTTGGTTTTTGTTTTTTTTTTCCTTTCTTTCTTTCTTTTCTTTCTTTTTGCTAGAGTTTTTAGAGAATTGCATTTGATCTTTTCCGTTTTACAGTTTAACATTTTTTGTCCCTTTAAACATTAAAATGTAACAATAATTTACAAGGTGCATTGATTTATACACACACATTCGAAGGAGAACAAATAAAATATAGTACATTTTGATATAGTACACATATAAATGCAATTTACAAACAACAATAGTTTTCATTTTATTCTTGCAACGAAATATTTATAGTCTTTTTTTGCTTGTTGTTGTTTTTGTTTTTGTTTTTGTTTGGGAATGTGTGCTGCTAATTTCACATTCATTTTGCGGTTTGATTTTTGTAAAATATACAGATATATATAAATTTGATTTACGATTTGTTGTTGTTGTTGTTGTTATATACACGTTTTAATACTTGGTATTTCTCTCATTTTATGCACTAAGCTAATTTGCAGCTAATTTGTGTGTGTGTGTGTGTGTGTGTATGTGTATCCATTAGATTCGAATAATGTAATTTATCTTCAATATATAATTGCCAAGAAGTTTTGCTCTCTCTTAATATCTCTGGTTGTCTGTCTTCCTGTCTGTGTGTGTGTGTGTGTGTGTGTTAGTCTATTATTTAGTATATGTGTTAGTATATTTACTAGATTTATGCGTTTTTCTTTTGAGCCTAATTGCTAGAAATTGTTGACCGACTTTATACATTTACAAAAAACATTTACAAAATTTGCTGGAAACTTCTCAGATCAGATACATATATTTTGGGTGTGGAAAAATATATATGCTGTGTATGCCTGTATGAACTGTTTGTCCACTTTCGAGTACTTACTGTAAGGAAGGAACATTCTTCTGCTTCTCTATTATTCTCAAACGATGCCTGGGGACTTGTTGGAGCGCCTTTTCTTAGGCTTAAAAATTCCGGAAAAATTCCCACTCTCCTTTTTCCTCCGCCGGATTTTCACAAATTCATGTTTGCGCAATTTATTGTGGAATCGAAAATGAATTGCCATAAATTATGCCAGGCGCTGGCCCTCTTCTCGCTTTTCGTTAATCGATTTTGATTTATTTATGCCTCTCTCTCTCGTGTCGCTCCTGATGCTGATTCCTTTTTAGTTCAATTCAATTCAATTCTTTAATTCAATTCGTTTTGGCAACGCTTAAGTCTAGACACAAACCACAAAGAGCTCAAGACTTAGATAACTATCATTTTTGGGGGAGGTGAAGGGAGGACTTAGGGGGCTTGGGGCTCTTAAACACAGCTCTCCTGCTGCGAATACATGAGCGGTGTGCGCACCGTGACTATCTCGCGCGAGTAGGACTTGCCCCCCACACCGGAGAGGCCCGAAAGGGAGCTGCTGGGACTGGCCACCGCCGCCGTTGTGGAGGCCAGACCGCTGCTGTTGCTCGAGACGAGCATCTGGCCGTGCACCATCTGCTGCTGCTGCTGCTGTTGCTGCTGCTGCTGGTGCTGCTGGTAGGATGGCGGCATGGGCATGTTGCCAGCAGGATGATGATGCTGCAACTGTTGCTGCTGCTGCTGCTGCTGTTGCTGCATCATTTGCATCATCGAAGCGGAGTTCTGGGGTCCCTGGCCCTGCTGCTGATGGTGATTATGTGGCAGAGTGTGATAGCCACCGGGATGGGAGGGCAGCGTGTACATTTGCACCGTGCCCGGCGACACGGTCGATGGAGTGCCGTGCGAGCCCGGCGATGAGATGCACGGCGGAAAGACGACTCCGCTCGGGCCAGGTCCGCCGCCGCCGCCGCCAGTGTCCACCTGCATCTGCATCTGCAGCGGCATCTGCATCTGTCTGTCACTTCCGGCTGCCGTGGCGCCACCCCGTGTCTTGTATGCGTCGATCTGCGCGTATATCGTCGGCTCCTCAAAGTAATCGTAATCGTATGTGGGCGCCGGAGCGTGCTGATGTGGATGCTGCATGCCGCCCGCATTCGGTTTGTGCCTCTGCAGCGTGGCCGTGGCCGGGATGCTGGGCAACAGCTTGCGCATGCTAGAGCCATGCGGCAGGGTGCCGCCCATCACGCCCTGTCCCTGGCCCGGGGCCTGGCCCTGCCCCTGCCCCTGCCCCTGACCCTGCTGTTGCCCCTGCCCCTGCCCCTGTGTGGCACATGGCTGGCCCTTCTTGGAGCTAGTGGCGGGCACCTGATTCAGCGATAGCTCGGCATAGTGCAGCTCATCGTCCTGCAAAGACATTTTTCATCAATTTAATAAAAAGTACAGTGGAAACTTTTGAAGAATCTCCCCCTTCCCCCGCCCCCCCTGAAATCTCTGGAGGTAATCATTTAGTTAAGCAATAATCAAGACTTTTATTCGGTAAGAAAATCAAAGCATTTGTCATGGCAATGTTTTCCTTTAGCGACTTTTACCCGAGTTCGTCATAGAGTAGTTCGACTGTAATTAAAACTTTTCGTGGCCGAAAAACTTTTCATGATGACAGTTTTGGACAGGCCCCCTCCCCTTCCCCCCGTGCCTCTATGGCTGGCTGACTGGCTTACCTTGCTGCTCTGATAGGTGCCACTGTCGTTGGAGTTGTTGGCCGTGGAGGCGCCACCGACGATGTTGCCGGTGCCACCGGATGTTGAGCCTGGCTTGCAGCTGATTTCCACCTCGCTGGTTGTCGAAAGATGTCCCGATGGCGTTTGTGTTGCTGATTTTTGTTTATATTCACCATCCACTGGAAGGAGACCGAACGGTTGGTTAGTTCAAAAAGTTTGAGGCCACACCCACACCCCCTCCCTCTCCCCCCACCTTTCCATCCCCCCCCCCCCCCCCCCCCCCCCCCCCCCCCTTCGTTGTTAAGTAGCCAGGGAAAAGTTTTGGTCGGCCGTCCGGGTTTTTGGCCGTTGCCCCTCAAATCTTTTGCTGATTTTCGGTAGCGCAAGTTTTCGTTTTCCATCTTCCTTTAGATTTCCCCCCTCCTCCCCCACCACGGGGTGGTTGTGCAATTTTTTGTTGGCCATGAAATTGCTTTACGTTTGGAAAATTGATTAAATTGTTGTGCTGCTTCTGGAGTTGAGCTTGACTGCCGCTTGATTTCTTGATTGCCATTAATCAAGGAACCCGAAAGGAACGTTACGTGCACTGAGTGAAATTTTGTGCTGGCTGTCCTTTAAGCATCCTCCCATCATCCGCATCATCCTGCTTTAAGGCAGCACTCGACTGCAGACACATGAGCAAACACAAGCAGCTAACCGATGGCACACGTTGGCACACGATGGCATGACAGCAATTAGCTGTCATTTAAATATTTCAACACTGCACAAAAATGCTGGCAGCCAGGCAGGACAGGCCCCTTCAGGAGCTGTGTTCCTGTTTGCTTTTTGCCTGTCAAATGCATTTGCATAAAGGGATGGCCACAGCAGACTGCTGCTAGCCTCAGGCCCCATGTCCAGGGCTCCATAAATTGCAAACAGAAGTCGTCGCAGTCGTCGCAGTCGTCGCAGTCGCCCCAGACGACACATTCATCTTGAAGGAACTTACCCTCATTGTAGGGCACAACATCGGGATTCTTCTCGTCGTACATCTCCTCGGAGTGACTCAATGGCAATGAGATTTTATCCTTAATTTGTAAATTGCCGGGACGTGAGAATTTCGCATTGGGATGTACAAACTTCTGCTGCTGTTGGTGCTTGTGCGAGCGCAGCTTCAGTGCGGCAATTGTGCCGATGCCAATGCAAACGATGGCCACCAGAATGCCCACAAAGATGCCAATCGAGAGGATCGGCGTTAGCTCAAAGTTGTCCGGACTCTGGGCGCTGCCCTTGTACGAGGTGAGGGCAACTGTAACGAGAGGAAACAGAAATTAAAGCAAGTCTTGGGTTTGGGAGGAGGAATAAACATAACATTACACTTAACATTAGCTGGAAGAACGAACAGAGCTTTAATGAGGCCACTTTACAAGGGAGGATAACAGATTAACAGCAGAACTAACTTAACACTGCCATTAGCATTAGCAGCTACAGTTAACATGGTGTTAACGATGCCATTTTGCAGTGCAGAATAACAGGTTAACAGAAGAATTAGCAGAACATTGAACTTATCATTAGCGGCTACAACTAACATAGCGTTAAAGATGCCCCTTTACATGGGAGAATTAACAGAACAGAAGAATTAACATTAGAAGCTACACTTAACATAGCATTAACGATGCCTCTTTGCATGGGAGAATAAAAGATTAACAGCAGAACTAACATAACATTACACCTAACATTGGCGGCTACACTTAACATAGCGTTAACATTTTGTCTGTATTTTAACAGCGCCTTTCCATTTCTTCTTATAGGAAGCACTTAGACGGACGCGTTTTTCGCTATTCATTCGCTGTTTTTTTTGTGAACTTTAACTCGATTTGTCTCATCTCTTCTGTCTATCACTCTATCTCTTTCCTGTGTGTGTTCTCTTTCTGAATTTCTCCAGTTCTCTCTACTTTATCCCTTGCTCTGTCCTTGTTTTGCCTCTCTTTTCTTCAGCTTCTGATCTCACTCGCTCTGCCATTATTTCTTCTGTATATACATACATCTTTCCTTATGAAGCAAATGCTTTCTCTCACTCATTCTCTGTCACTTTTCTTCTGTTTTTTCCCCCTATGCTTTCTGCATTTCTCCCTTTGCTCTGCCCTTACCTTTTCTCCTACTTATTCTACTACTTTTGGCATTTCCCCTATAATTTTGTATCCCATTGAATGGCTATTAATTTTTTTGCCCCACAATCTCAATCGATTCATCCCCTCTCTGTTCCCCCCCTGCAGGGCCCTGTCTTCAATCAAATCCCGTGTATTATTCCCAAAAAAACCCAATACTTGCAGCATTTATCCCTTTTGGTCAGGGCATTTAAACATTGACTTTAACCAAAGACAAATTTCATTCCTTTTTTCCATTTCCATTTGCAACTCCATTTTGCTCTTTCTGCCCTCCCTCCCTGCTGCCTGTCTTGTCCTGTCTGTTGTTTGCTTTGCACTTTTCTGTCTGTCTGTGTTGGCCATTGCGCCTCCTCCTTCTTCTTCGCCTCCTTCTCCGTCTTGGCCTGTGACTTTATGAAAAATTGAAATGTCGGCTCAAGTTGTTTACACAAAATGTGACTCTGTCCCCACAACAACCTTTTAGCTACCCCCCAAAAAGGAAGGGAAAAGGAAAATAAAACTCTTGTCTGCCTCCTTGCCTTCCTGCCTCCTTGCCACCCTGCCCCCTTGCCACCCTGCCTCTTTGCCTAATTAGCATTACAATTTGCTTTCTTTCGTTTAGAACTCGCCCCTAAAAAAAAAAACAATTCATTAATGCTAATCATTTCAGATTTTTTGCGCTACTTTTCGTGCATAAAATTTTCCACTCTTTTGCTTTGAAAACTGCAGGGGAGGCGGCAGGGAGGCTGGAGGAAAGTTTTGTGTCGCGGAATTTACAATTCATTGAGCAGTTTAGCCGTAATTAAATTGCGAGGTGGCATAATAATCATAAAGCCCCAGAACAATCTTTAGAAGAGGAAACTGATACCACGATAGACAGAGAGAGGGAGAGAGAGAGGGAGAGCCACTGCAAAGTTATGCAATTTGTGTGTGAGAGAGAGAGAGGGAGGGGCTCTCCCAAAGTATTAGCATAAAAAATTCATAAAAAGCAAAACGCACGCGCCCCGCTTTCAGAATGCATTAAAAATTCATAGGATAGACAAGAGAGGGGGCCATAGGGGAGGGGGTGCACTTACCCGTCTGCTTTTCAGCGGCCTTGAGGGTATAGCCATCGAGGGCCACCCCATCGCTGCGTCCGCGTCCATTCACCGCATAGACATAGATCCGGAAGAGTCGGCCCGCATCCAAGCCCGTGACGGACAGAGCCGCAAACTTGGCACTGATGTTGGCCTGAAGCTGCCCGCTATGCTGATCGTAGATTTCCATGAGGAACCACTGCCGCATGCCGCCATCGAAGCCTGCGAGAGAAACAGAAACAGAGAGACAGAGAGACATTGAGACTCTGATTGCATAACTTGTCACGAATTTGGGATTATTTAGCATATTAACCGAGGATTTGGGGGGCGGACTGTGGGGGTGGGGATTGATGGAATTGACTGTTGTCTCTGACTGATTCGGAATCTGTTGATGATTTGCTTTGGGATTTGCGTCACGGTAAAGATTTATTTATGACTCTCTTGGATATAAATGGCATTTACATTACAGCCCAAAAGTTATTGTTCAAAACAACTTTTAAGCCCGCGATTTGAGACAAGTTTTCGAAGCTTTGGAGGAGCCTCAAAAATGTGCGAGATATATTTAATATGAAATGAATGTGTAATGAGAGATGAGATTGAATTTGTCCAGCTGGAACTTTGAAGCACTTCATTCTTGGATTTGTTGTGAGTTTTTTTTATGTAAAATATATGCCAAATGATGGCCATAAACCTTAGACGAAGTTATAGACATAATATATACCCAAAATTGTAGGCTTCAAAAGAATATTTGACGACCTTTTACAGGAGTTTTGATTCGTATTTTATGGGAGTTTAGATTTGTATTAATAGAGTGGATAGTGGACCTGCAAAAAATAGCGATCAAAAGTGGAAGTTTTCTAACATTTTTAATGCTTGCTCAAAATTGGCATTTTTTGTATATTTTTTGTAGATTTGTGGTGCATTTTTTGTAGATTTGTTGTTGTACATTGTTGGTAAATTTTTCGTACACTTTTTGTATTTGTTTTTTTTTTTGTACTTTTTTTGTACATTTTTTATTAATTTTGTTGTACATTTTTTGTACGTTTTTTATGAATTTTTTTGTACATTTTTAGTAGATTTGTTTTTATAGATTTTTGGTACATTTTTTTTACCTTTTATGTAAATATTTGTTAATTTTTTTTACATATCTTGTAGATTTGTTTTTGTACATTTTTGGTAAATTTGTTGAAGATTATTTGTACAGATTTTGTAGTTTTTTTTTACATTTGTGGTATTTTTTTTTTGTAAATGTGTTGTACATTTTCGGTAGATTTTTAGTACATTTTATGTTAATTTTTTGTAGATTTGTTTTTGAACATTTCTTGTACATTTTTTGTATGTAAGGGTTATTTTAAGGCGTTAGATCTTTATCCATAAATCTCAGAGGTAGCAATAATTTTAGTTAATTAATTTTAATTAAATACCAATGAAAGTCCCACTGAGAAATAGTTCTTTCAAACAAATTAAACCCACATTTAAAGCTTCCCTTGACAACCTTTAACCAGAGATCTCTGCCTTCTGATGCCTCATATTCCCCACTTAATTGCAAAGCCTGCTCCTCTCACATTTTCAACTCCCCCCAAAACCCCCCTCCACCCGAAAAAACTACCATCAGCGTCATCAAGTGTTTAGGCACGACCCTTTGCCCATGGAGTCCATGGAGTACTCCGCTCGTAATTGAAGTGACTTTAACCCTTGACCTCCCAGACCCAAAAAAAAACTCTCGCTCTCTGTGTGTGTATTTAAAGTAATCTAAAGTTACATTTTAAATGCCATTTAATAACGCCACAAAAGAACTCTGGCCCTCACCGAACAACCCGTTTCCGTCTCGAGGCCTGCTGGAGGGGGAGGAATGGCGAGTGAATGGAGATCCTTGTGCCCAAAAAGCAGGCTAATATCCTGCCTTTTGCTTAGCTTTTTCGGCCTGCTCAAATGGCACTTCATTGTAGACACAAAGCCGACTTAAAACACTTGCGAAAAATGTTAAAATATTTTGTAATAAAGGCGGCCCGACTCCGACTCTGGGAACTACTTGAGGCAGTGCCCCAAAGGAGGGGGGCGGGGTGTGGAAAATTGTTGTGGGGAAAATGTTTTATATGTTTGGCTATGAGTTTAGCCGCTTTTCCACAAAGAAAACGGGGCGAGGAAATAGAGTGAAAAGAATGCGGCTGCTTGGCCTTTGCTTCAAAGGCGGCCCTCCATTGTTCGCTGTCCATTCTCTTTGCCCTTTATCCCTTTTTTTTAGGGATCCCTCTCCCCCTCTCCCTCTCTCTCTCTCTTTCGCTCTCTCTCTGTGTATCCCTGTTGTTGGCGGCCATTTTGTGCGCACTTTAAAACGTTTAGCTAATGAAATTTTCCTCAACAACAGGAACAAAAAAAAAAAAAAAAAAAAAAAACTTCATTGTAATGGGTTAATTTTATTTACTCGTCTGCTACCAGCGGCGGCGGCAGCAGCGGCAGCAACAATGGCTACAGCAGCAGCAACATTGGAGTAAAAATAATAAAGCAGCAGCGGCAAGGGGCAGCAGCAAGGGGCAGCAGCAAGAGGCAGCAGCAAGAGGCAGCAGCAAGGGGCAGCGTGGGGGAGTTGGGAGTCTTAGGGCCAAGCAAAATGTTATAAACTGAAATTTTATTATATTAAACCGACGCTTGATGAGTTTGGTTAGTTGTTGTTTTGCCCCCGAACCAACAAGAGAGAGAGAGAGAGAGAAAAAACAGAGGCAGCAGAAGTTGTCTTCAAGCTTTCTGGCGGGGCCGCCCGCCCGCCGCCACATTGAATTCAATTCGAGTCCAGAGTTGGTTCTGGCGGTTCCTGGGCGGTGCCTGGGCGGTTCCTGGGGGTTTCCTGGCGGTCTCTGGCTTGAGTTTGAGTCGAGGCGACGCGGCCATGTCGAGTTGAGTTGGCCAAGAGTTGCGTGCTGGCTTATTAAAGTCGAAACGTGCACCGACCGCATGGCTAAAGTTGAGTTATTATAAAAACAAAAAGAAAAACGAAAGAGCTCTGCCAATAGTCGAAGCATTGGATACCCTGGAAGTCGTCTTTTCTATCTCAAAGGGTACCTCATTAATCTCTGGTACAGAGGCAGGATTTTGATGGATGAAACGTTTATTCCCTTCCCTTTCCTTTTTTTCACCCACAATACCCTCTAAAGAAGCGTACAACAAACGACCAAAAGAACCCCTGGCTTGGGCGGGGGGCGGGGGTGGCAGCAAGGGCTCTCCTTCTAGGGCTGGGGTTGGCTGGCTGGCGCTGGGGGGTGTGGCCCATCAGCAGTCGTTTGCCTTAATGTAAAGTGCAATATAAAAAGTATCGCATTGAGCGCTCGCCTTCGTCCTCTGCCCGTCCTAGTGCTGCTCCTGGTGGTGCTGCTGGTGCTCTTGTGTTGTGCTTAAACAACTTGCGTTAAAGTTTTAATGATGCTGATGACTATGATAATAATGTGCAGCCACTAAATTAGCAGCCCGCGGGTGTGGGGCGAACAATGGCAGAGACAGAGGGAGAGATAGAGAGAGGGAGATGGGGCGGCAGCCAGAGTGCATCAAGTATACGCACTGGATGATCAGAAATGATCACTGGAAAAGGGAGAAAATTACCAACACAAAAAAACCAAAAGGTTTTTGTGGAATTTTAGAGGGATTCAGGACTTTTTGGAATAGTTTCTGTCGTGCACAATGTGGCTGTGGTTTCCCCGGTGCGAGATGATGAGGATGAAAATATTTGTTTGTGATCCAATTGGATGTCTCCCACGTCGTCTTTGGTTCCCCAAACATCGTGGACCACTCGCTGTTCAAGAGGATTCTTTAATGAACACTTTCTGAACTCCTTCTTTTGGGCTTGTTGTAGAAACTCCATCAATAAATGTAATATTCTCTTCGCTTCGTACTGTTTCTCCTTCAAGGGGAGAGCGATCAATTTGTTGGACAAATTCCGTGGTGCACAGTATTTGAATTAGTAATCCGATTGATATACGAGTTGTGTTCCCTGGCAGAGAGGTCGCCTCTACTCCGGGCACTTCCTATAGAATGTTAGACTCCCTTATTTCCACTTAAATTCTAGCGCAGCTCTTAAACCATATTTAATCACAATTAAAGCACCGCCAAGGCCAACTTTCTTCTCTGTGGTGCTGCTACAAATTACGTAGACGCAGTGGTGTACCGCGGCAGCAATCCGTGGGGTAATCCAAGAGCAATCCCCCACTTGAGACAACATTTAGCACAACAATTGGCCAACAGCAATTGGCAGGAAAGCGGCTTAAGGCCACTACACTGGGGAAAACTGTGGAGGGAAAATGGCTTTGTTGCAAGGGGGGGAGGGGGGTGGCAAGAGCGCGCCATTAAGTATGCAGTTATTATGCGCTTTTTGTTGCACTTTGGCAGTGCGGCAGCCGCCTCGTTATGCTGCACTTTGATTTGCTTTTGCCTCGTCGCCGTGGCACTCAAGGGCTGCATAAATGCATCATAAGCTGATGCCCAGAGTTTCTGCGAGGACATTTCTCAGTGAACTTTGAACTGCTTTCCCCTCTGCTTGCCGCTCTACTGCAATTTGTCCTGCTGGCATTTTTTTTTTTTCTGTCTTTCCGCTGCGCATAAAATATGCGAATTGAATTTGTATTTAAAGTTTCACATCGCTCGCTTTTGCCTCCGACTCGAGAGTTATCCTTGGCTTTGGCTTCTTTGGCTTCTTTGGCAGCAACTTGCATAACAAGCCAAAAACATTTTGTATGTACAAATTTGCGCTTAACTTTCTACTGCCTCGTGCCTCTTGCCACTCTTCAGGTCTTACTTGCAGCAGCAGTTCATCGCTTGGTGCGCTTTTATTTTATTTATTACTGACTCGAAAAATTTCCAACTGGAAAACTGTACTGAAAATTTTAGCAACATTATTTGCTGCTCCTGCTGCTGGTGGTAGTACGTTTCCTTTCTAGTTTTATGCTTTCATTGCATTTTTATTATTATTATTTGTGTCTGTGTGCCTGTGTGTCTGTGTCTGTAAGGATACTTGCTCTCCCCACACACAGACACACACAGACTCCTGTGCATTCTCTTGGATGTGCTGCCAAAGTGCACTTAAGTTGCTCATGTATTTTAAATGAGTCTGAAAAGCGTTGCAGGAAACAAAATACACACACACACACACAACATTCTGCTCCTTCCTTTTTCCTTCTGCTTCTGCATCTGCTGCTTCTTTTGACCATTGCCTTTTGCCTTTTTCGGCCATTGATTGGCTCATCAGCAATTATTGGAACGCAAGAAAACCAAACCCCCCAAAAAGGGGCAACAAATTGCCTGGCAATTTGATGTACGAGTACCCCTCTGTATATCTGTATATCCGTATATCTGTATATCTGTTAAATAACTCACCTTCGATGCAGTATACCTCCAAAGAGTCGGACGTCTGATTGACCACCGTACAGTTGGTGGGCGCTTCCGGTTTGCCAGCGGCTATCAAATGGAACACACAGGGCTCCTTCTGCTGACCCACATTGTTGTCCGCCCAGCACATGATGGTGCCAAAGTCCATTTCCTGCAACAAAGGCCACAAAACAAAAAAAAAAAAGAGTTTGAAAAGGCGGTTTATTGTTTGGGGTTGACGTTGATTCAGTTCATCAATCTGTCAAACGGTTCTCGGACGGGCTTTTGGATGTTTTATGTACATTTTTATAGGTATATATTTATTAGAATATATTTCAAAGGAGGAGTGGCATCATAGAGCTTGTGGAATAGGTTTTGTTGAAGAGGGAACATTCATCTATTTACGGATTTGGAGAGGTAAAAGGTTTCCACATACATTTAATAGTTATAACCGGAAGAACTGGAAGATATCATTTGGAAGCATGAGTTGAATCTGCGAACAGGCTCGCATATGGAGGATCTGTGACGAGGAACAAGTCGTTCAATGGTTCAGTAGTGCATCACTAAAGGTCCCTAACGCCCAAACACATAGCAAATGACTCATGTTTGAATTTGAGCTCATGATAATGGTGACATTCTTTGTCCATAACGCCAATCAGTACATTCGAATTAGCGGAATAGTGAAATTTTTTGTCTAAAACACCAATCAGCACTTTCGAATGAGCGGAATGATGATATTCTTTGTCATAACACCAATCAGCACTTTCGGATGAGCGAAATGGTGATATTCTTTGTCTATAACACCAATCAGCACTTTTAGATGAGCGGAATGGTAACATTTTTTGTCCATAAGTCCAATCAGTACATTCGAATGAGCGGAATGGTGACATTCTTTGTCTAAAACACCAATCATCACGTTCGGATGAGCGGAATGTCACATTCTTTGTGCATAAAGCCAATCAGCACTTTTAGATGAGCGGAATGGTGACATTCTTTGTCCATAACACCAATCAGCACTTTCGGATGAGCGGAATATTAAATTTTTGGCCCATACTCGATTGCTAGACGACTGGTAGACACCCACAGCTCTCAAGCTCTTTGAATCTTTCATAGACATCTCTCTGGAAAGAACTTAATTCATGAAATCAATGCCTTTGTACTTTTGGGGTGTCCAGAGTGCTGCTCTGGCCCACTCTGATTGATCGCAGCTGTCAATAGGTTTTTCATTAATATAATTTCATGACATGTCAATAGACAGGGCGATGTGGTCCAAGATGGAAGACGGAAAACGGAAAACGGAAGACGGAAAGCTTTTACGGACAGTAAAAACAAATGAGGCATTTTGTGTGTGTGTGTGTGTGTGTGTGTGGACCGCCCACCGCCCACATGTAAGAGTGGGCGAAAAGGGAAACAATGTTAACATGGCTTTAATGCCAGCTTGGGCTGGGCTGGGCTCGCCTGTCCTTCTGTCTCGATATCCCTGTGTATCCTGTCTAGTAGCCCTGTGCTAAGTGGCCGCCTGCCTGCGGTCTGTCGCTCTATTGTTTGTCCTACTCGTTTATTTGTTTGCATTTTGTCAAATGTTGTGCTAATGAAATCCTACCCACAAACGGTCAAGTGCACACACACAGAGCACCCACAGGAAAAAATATATCTAGAAGATACACCAAGCTTTAGATACTCTTGGCAGAGTCTCTCTATAATCGTTGTACACTTTCGCAAACAATTGATTTGGTTTGCCACGTATGTATCTTTGTATCTACGTATCTGCGTATCTCTTTGTGTCCTTTGTCGCTGGGTTTTAACGGTTTGTTTCTGGTTGGCAAAGAATCAACGCACTTAATCAACTTCAAGCGACATGAACTCATTAAAAATTGAAATCACTCTCGGTGCACAGCAAAATGTCAACGCAAATTGCAGCTTATTTATCAGTCGGTACGCGTTCCATGGCGGCCCTTTTTTTTGCCCCTTGGCCCTTGGCCCACTCGCATGTATCTCTCGTGTGCGCGGTTGTCATTTTAATTAGGGCAACAACAGATACAAATACGGCGGGTAGAAGTTTGTAAACTTTTTGCTGGGGGTTTTTTTTTGGGCTTTAAGGAAATGTTAGAAAGTTTTTCCGGGGCCTAGCAAATGGCACGGAAAAAAGGGAAATCTTAAAAGTTGAAACACTGATTGATTGATCTTTTCAGAGAGAGAGAGAGAGAGAGGAAAATGTATCTCTTTGTGGTAATTAAAAGCCACATAAAATAGCAACATACATGGCCGTATACGTGTTGAAGGCCCCTCCACACAGCCTTTGGGGCAAAAGTATATTTATGCAAATTTATGACAAATTTATGAAAATTAAAATATACTCGTACATAGCATATATTTGCTAGGTGCTAGGTGCTAGGTGTCTGTGTGTTGGCACAAAGGCGCCAACATGGCAGCTGCCAACACTGTGCATCAACACCAACAAACAACGAGGGAAAGAGACACCAGAGACACACACGAGAGGAAGAGAGAGAGAGAGAGAGAGACAGAGAGGATATGGCAATATAATAATAGAGCTGCCAGGGCCACACACATACAGAGGTAAATGCATAGAATTTTAAGTAATAATCAATGTGGGGAAAAAGCATTGCATACTTTTTGGGGCATAGCCTGCTTTCTAGGGCTCTCTCTCTCTCTCTGTGTGTTGCAACTGTCATCATCGTACAGCCGACAATCCTTGTGATAATTTTTGCCCGAAGGAGAAAGAGACACGGCACAGTGCCTGCAAAATTTATGCCCATCTATTTATTATGATTATTTTATTTTGTTTATATTGTTTTAATGTTTCAGCAGCAGCCAGAAAAGGGTAAATATTGTTGCAGTTGTCAGACGTTGCAGCAGCGGCAGCAGCAACACAAACAAAATCCATAAAATATGGGAATATACACACACACACACACACATACATGTATGGACGTGCGTGCGTGCGTGCGTGCCTGTGTGCTTGTGTGGGTGGGTGCCCAAGTATCTAAAGCAAGGGGACAGCTCCTCTGACAAGACATTGCATTCTCTGTGCAAAATGCTATTATTTATGCATTTTAATTAAAAATTTAAACATTTAAGTGACATTTTAATAAGTTTCTTTTGCCAAAAGAGAGAGAGAGCGAGAGAGCAGGACTGAAATATGTGCGTGCTTGTTTTTTTTTTTGGGGAAATATTTGAGAAATTTATATGTCAGCAGCGGAAATTGCTTGACATGAAAGCCTGTCGGGCAGCATTTCAATGTTTTCGGAATATACTGAAGGCGTGGGAAGGCTTGCTCGGCACAAAGGACATCAGGGAGCTTTTAGATGTGGGTGCACGTCCAGATCGGACGAGAAATGGCTGTGTTATGGTGATAAGCGACATTCTTCCGATTAAGAGAAGGTGTGGAAGCCCTAGTTTAAGAGAGAAAGAGTGGAGCTATAGCGTTAGAAATGATATATCCTTATTGGCCGTGCTATCAGTCGGACTCTGAAGGATAAGAGATGTTCTCCTAATCACGAGAAAGCGTGGCATGCCCAGATCGGACGAGAAAGAGCGGAGCTACAGCGCTAGAAACGATATATCCCTATTGGTCAGACCTTAAAAGGTTAGGGATGTTCTTTCCACCACAATGAGGAGTGGCATGGCCAGATCGCATGAGAAAGAGTGGAAGTATATACTAAATGATTACAGATGTTCTCCTAATCACGAGGAGGCCTGGCATGCCCAGATCGGACGAGAAAGAGTGCAGCTACAGCACTAGCACCGATATATCCCTATTGGTCAGACCTTAAAAGGTTAGGGATGTTCTTTCCACCACAATGAGGAGTGGCATGGCCAGATCGCATGAGAAAGAGTGGAAGTATATACTAAATGATTACAGATGTTCTCCTAATCACGAGGAGGCCTGGCATGCCCAGATCGGAAGAGAAAGAGTGCAGCTACAGCACTGGAAGCGAAATATCCGTATTTTTCTGACTCTAAAGGATTGGGGATTCTTTTCCCATCACGAAGAGGCCTGGTATGCCCAGATAGGATGAGAAATGGCAGAGTTATGCCAAGGGAAAGTAAGTCCGAAGTAAATAAGAGCTGGTTGCATACTTCCAGGCGGAGGGGAATGTGATTTTTTTCAGCCTGAAGAGAAAAGTGATCGGAGGACCACCCCTGATGTAGTTCTTATCAGGAATCAAGGATTTTAAGCCCGGTCATAATCATAGTTCGATTTCTCGTTTATTTGTGGACCAATCAAGGCAAACCATGGCCACACGCCTGAAAGTATGCCATAATTTCGAAATACCACGGAAATCTTCCAAAAAGCATGCCCCAAGAAAGTGCCATCGGGATTAACCAACAAATTCTGTGTCTCCGCTTAACTAAATATTAAAAGTCTTTAAATTTTCAATAAATTAAAGGTAATAGAGATGTATGAGATGTAGTGAAGTTATTACATCTCCAGCCCCTTTTCAGCTACCAGTGGAAAAAGGGCAAAAGAGAAATGCCCAAAAATTAATGACAAGTTGGCTCTGTCGACTGCACAGCCTGTCTTGGAGCAAATCACACACACACACACACACACAGAAGACACAAAAAATTGGGCAACGAAATGTGGAGCAACAAAAAAAAAACACAGAACCGACTGAGCTGCGGTTGCGGAAACCGGAAACAGCATATATGACAACAGAACGGAAGGGATTTTTCATATTCAATTGAGCTAAATGATTTATGTGATGTGATGTGCACTAGTGTGTGTGTGTGTGTGTCTGTGTGTGTGTCCAATCAGTTTTGTGCTCCGTTGGAGTGTTTGTGAACGGAACTCATTTGAATTCCGTTTGACTGGGGTCCTGTGACAGCACAAATTCGTTCGTTTGATCGCTGAAATGTGAGCCCCCCCTGTACCCCCCGGTAGCCCCCTGTGTAGCTGTCGTCGCCAGTTTGATTAGTTCCCCAGCCAAAAAAGGGCAAATGGGAAGGAAATAAAAGCAGTAGAAGAAGCCGCAACATTTTAAACTGGGTCAGCTAGGGCAAAAAAAAAAGAAACAACATAGAAACCAAAAAAACCCCAACTGGGGTGCCATGCAACTTGAACAACTGTGTTGAGTGCCTTTCTCGCTGGCCTCCTGCCACCACTACTGCAGCATTTTCAGCATCTACTGCTGCAGCCATGTTGGCTTACAAGCGACCAGGCCACTCCACCCACAGTGCCAGTCCCAGTCCCATTCCCACTCCCAGACTTAACACGTTTGTGGTCAGGCATTCGAAATGTTGTAGCTTCCAAAATGAAGCCCCAAATGAAAGATCTGCTCGAGTGGGTTTTCAACGAATCAGTGGACAGGTTTTGTGCTGAAAAATGTGATGAGAAAATGGGGGAAAAAGATCACAAATTGAAAACCAGAGACACAACACCGAAGAAAGCCTCAAGAAAAAGTAGAGACTAGGAATCAGAAAAGTGTCTTTAAGCAGGAGTTCCATAAAGCTTCTACTGAGCTTCTAAAACCTGCCTGAAAATACCTATGAAAAGCCATTCAATGCACTTCTTTCCGTTCCACAAAACAGAGCCTTCAATTTCGGAGAATGGCTTCTTAATTTTATCCACTGAGAGGAGCAGAGAGAGACACTCGTTTCATCTGCAGTTTCACATTCGAGATATTGTTTTGGCAGAACATAAAAATTTACAGTAGCAGGAGGACCTGCAGGACCTGCAGGAGCTGCAGGAGAGACCAGCTTGCCGGCTCTGTCAGAGATGATGATGATGATGATGGGGTTGATGAGGATGCAAAAACAGAAACTGAAACTGGAAAAATTTCCACACTGATGGCAGACTGAAGGAAGCCCCCTCATTGATGGGCCAATTTGCTTGGCCAATTGCCGGGGTGGAGCATCAATGGCCAATGGACATTTTTTGGTCTATTAATAGGAAGAACTGAGGCAGACAGATACTTGTCTTCTCTTTTCATCTCGTTTATCTGCTTGATTAGGTCTCCCCTCCCTCTGTCCTGATGATAACTATTAAAGTCAATGGCAAATGGCATTTACTACCCAATAATTTCCTTGGATCCTTTCTTCTTTTGCCCCTCCATATAACCTTTGACATTTTCTGTCATGTTCTGTTCGATAATGATGTTCCATTGGCGTTTTTTGTTCTTTTTTTTTTTTAATTAGAAAGCACTGCTAATAGAATTTTTAATTAAAATTGCTTGACTGCCAGGACACGCCCCTACACTGTTGTTGTCTCTCTGTCAAGGGGGGGGTCCTCTCTCCTCTTTTGTCCTCTGACAACATGACACGCACACAGGCCAAAACAGCGGCCATGTTGCTGCCGCCTATTAATTAAAATTTTTGCTATTCAATAACACACACTCGCCCCGCTCTCGCCCCTCTTGCCCCTCTTGCCCCTCTTTGAGCAGCTAGCCGGCCAAATGTCAAATGTGTCAATAACAATTTCCACATTAAAACGGAGCGATGGGAAAATATGAAATGAAAAATTCATCAGGCAGCGGGCAGGCAGGCAGGCAGGCAGCACTACACAAAATGTCGCTGGGTGTTTAGCATTTAACGCAAAATGTAAATGTACTTTTTCGGTAGTCGATCCACCAGTCCTTCCGAACCAAACCAATGTGTGTCATACATTTGACATTTGACGAGGAAGAGCCACTACTCCGAGTCCTCGGAGGCCTCCTGCTACTCCTCTGACTGGTCCCACTCCACTGAGGCCTCCTCTGACTCCTCTAACTCCTCCTTCTACTCCTCCGAGTCCTCTTTCTATCCTTTGACTGTTCCTACTCCTCTGACTCCTCCTTTGACTCCTCCTTCGACTCCTCCTCCGACTTACCTTCACTGGCGTATAGGTGAGTGTCGAGCCCTGTGCCGAATGGGGCCGGAATCCGCTCTGTGGCATATCGAACGTTTCGGCAGTGTTGTTGAACGACCACTTGAAATTCTCCGGCGGCGGAAAGGCATCCACTTCGCAAACGATTTCGGCGGCCTCGTTTCGGGCCACGCCATAGATTTTCTTTTGATCGGGCCGGCAAATTGGTTTATCTGTAACGGCAGAGCAAAAACGAGAGAAGAGTGAGAAACCTCGAATCAATAATCGCATCAGAGTGAAGGCTTTTCTTTGTTTTTGCATGACTCTGCCTCTCCCCCCCTCCCACCGAATGGATCCATCTTCTAAGTAGAAAACTTTGGGCTTTGGGCTTTCTTGTTGCTCGTTCAAGCAGAGAAACAGTGCAACAGAGAAACCTAAAAACACAGGCAACATCAAGAAAAAAAGCCACGAAAAAATACTAGGAAAATACTACTCCTCCAGCCGTGGAAAACTTTCGACCAAACGGCCCAAAAAACTTTCAGCAGCTTCAAAGCAAAATTCAATTTTCGAATTCTCAAATCTTTCAACTGTCGCTGGCCACACAGTGGCCCCTGAATTTATTGTGTGCCGCATTCTGACGACAACTGTCGATATTGCAGGCTAGGGCCCAGCCTCCCAGAGGAAGAGGTGGAGCCCCCCATTTGTGAGTGCGAGTTTTGTGGCCAGAGCGGAAGTTCTGCTTAAAACAAAAGCCAGAAACAGGAAAAAAGTACAAGTGATAAAAGGGAAATGGCACCGGAAAAACCAAAGCAACACCAGGGGGTGTTCCGCACACCCTGGGGCAGACGAAGATGAATAGGGAATGTGCCGTGCCGCCTGTGCTAAATTGCTCGCAAAAGGGCAAACTAATTAACCAAACTTTTGGCCTCCTTTCAGCCTCCTTCACCCACCGAGTTCTTCGGGGAAAATTCAACACAAATTGAGCAGAAGATTTGCGGTGAAAGGTTCGCAGAAAACATTTTGGGGGCAATACTTCTTGGAGTGTCCTTTCCAGCGGCGAAGAGGGAGAGAGAGAGAGATCTACTTTCGCCAAAGAGCGGCGGCCCAGGCAGCACAATGCCAGGCACTCATCTCTCATCGCTCTGGCCACACTCGAACACTCAATAATGCTCGTTTTTGTGTGTCAAAGGTCCACTCGAGCAGGGCCTGAAAGAAGGATTTGAGTGGGGCACAGGCAGAGGCAGAGGCACGGGCACAAGCCACGATTCCAACCCGCCACCGTTTGTTAATGGTCTCCAAAATAAGAGAAAGAGCGTTCCATTTTGATGGCTCAGACCAAAACCCATCCTCTGCCGCCATCCCTGGACTCTCCGGCCCCTCTGTTCATATACTTACACATCACTTTCAGTTCGACAACATTTGAATCGCCATCGCCCTCGACGTTCGAGGCAGTGCAGGTGTAGTTCCCGGCCTGATGTCGGGTCACGCCCTGGAGGGCCAGGTCGCCGCTGCTGACGATGACACCCGCTCGCTGATTGTGCTGGATGATTTGATGCTGCAAAATGGAGGTACAAATAAAATCAGCATTAAGCTTATAATTAGACAGAGATATATAGAGAGAAAGAGAGACAGAGAGAGAGAGAGAGAGAGAGACATGTACAAAACAAGGAAAAAAGGGATGTTTAAGCCCTCTAATGAGCTTTGCTTTGTCCTCAAAGGAGAGAGGGCGATGCACTGCACTGTGCTGTGCATTCAAAAATATTCCATTAATTAGCGCTGGTTAAGCATATTAAGTATCCGCACAAAGAGGGATCTACGACATGAGGATGTCCCCCCTTCTTCGGTTGAAAAATGCATTGTCTTGGGGCTTAAAAGATAATCATTAATAGGGCTGCCAGGTACCAGGAAAATATATAAAGCAGGTCTTTAAGCCCACTCCTTTGCTGGATCTTTGGCTCTTATCTCAGCTTTAAAAACTCTCCTCTACTAAGGCCCCTCTCCCCGCTTTCTTTCAGGGCACAAGGTCACACATTTTGCCACCTTTTTTGGGGCGCCAGAGAACACTCATAAATGTTTGCATGAGTGAACCGAACGGCAGCTTCATTAGACCGACGCCTAAGCCTACGTGTTTGGCATCTTTGAGTGTGTGTGTGCCCGGGAAAATCAGCCAATATTTACTTTAAGTTTTCCCCCCCACACACACACACACACAGAGAGGAAATCCTTAACACCCACCCAAATACTTATAGAGGCTTGCTCCTGCTTGACCTTCTTCTTGGGCTGGGGTGGGGGTGGCACTTTCGCTTGCTCTCATTTTGAAATAATGCTCGATGCTCGTTTTGGGGGCGGGCCTCGACACTCGACAACATTTTGACGCATTTCCCCAGAGCCTTGTGCCATTTAGCAGCAAAACAAATTCGCACTTTCGTCTCACAGAAACCGAGAGGAATGGCCAAAGAGGGATACAATGAAAGCATTCAAATAAATACAAATGGAAATAAATATGGCCAGAGCCATAGTCAGAACAAAGCCTTCGATGACCTTAGCATAAAAAACACACACACACACACAAACGCCCTCCTGTGTAAATAGAAACAATGCAACACTTTGATAATAGTACACACACATATCTCTGAGCTCTGAACTCTGAACTCTCAGTGAAAGGAAGGAGGAGGAGGAGGAGGAGCTCCATGTGTCATAATGCATTGTGGGTGGCGGTACATCCCCGTCTTTTGTTCGGCCCTTGTGTGCCCTTTCCATTATATGGATGTCAACAATTACGAGTATATAGATGGATAGACAGAGGCTTAGACAGCGGGATTCCTCAACCAAAAACCCCAAACAATATTTGTATTTGACTGACAATCGGGGGGCCATTCAATTCGGAATCAGACAATGATTGATACACCTATTGTTGGTGCCACCGATAGCCCAGATAGGAGATACTAGGACACGGCATATACGGCGGATACATGTGCTCCCTCTCCCTCTCTCTCTCTCTGCAGACAGCGAATCCATTTTCTTGGGTATTTGCATTACCCTTGTTTTTAAAGAGATCCTTAAAAGGCACACCCCCCCCAGGGCCACGCCCGCCCGCACAGCCTCAATTCCCTTGGGGTTTTCGGGGGCTTAAATGGCCCAAATGGTCCTGGGCTCGGCGACCTTGTTGTCATAAAACAAATAAAAATGTCGCCAGGCATATACGAAAAAGTAAATAAAGTTCAAGGTTCTGTGACAATAAAATACCTAAAAAAAACGAAAGAAAATGAAGGAAAAAATAATGTTGGTTAGGTGAAAAGGCAACAAAAAAAGGGGAGAGGAGGAGCGGAGGAGTGGAGGAGCGTAGGATTACGGTGAGTATTTTCCAAATAGTTTCGGGGCACATCCGCTGCAGCTTTTCCGCCACGTTGGCTCATTGTCCCTGGCGCTCTCCCCAAATCCCCGCCGCCCCTGGACTCTCGTTCGTTGATGATGTCTGCACAACCCTTTGGGGCACAACCCCTCAATGCTAATGGCGCATTTTATGCGTTGCCATTTTCTGTCCGTCCGTCTGTCCGTCCGTCTGTTTGTCTGACATGTTTGCTCGGCGGCACAGCCACTCCTCTGAAGAGTCCTGCCTGCCGGCCTGCCTGCCTGTCCGACTGCCTGCCTGTCCGACTGCCTGCCTGCCTGCCACTTGTGATAGTCTGTCATTGATGTTTGTTTCGACTATAAATACCCAATTAGTGTTGGTAATTTATCTGATGGCTTTGACTGATTGAGGTGGATTTGCTTTATTCATTCCTTTCGTTCATTCCTTTGCCGGTTTTCGGTTCCGTGTTGGCCTCGTTTCGGCCGGATTTCAGGCTGAGTTTTGGTGCAAGAAAAATTCAAACCAAAAGGCTTACAACAACAACAAAAAACAGCTAAGGGATATGCCCCATAGAATCCCAAAAGTGGGCTCACAAAAATGGAATACATTTTTAATTAAAAATATACTAGTTTTGGAATTATTTCTTAGTTTTTAAATTTCAAATTAATATTTTAAACAATAATTAAAATGTAATAAATTCATTAATTAAAACTTATAGTTAAAAAAATAAATAAAGCGCTAAGCGTTATAAGTAATATTTAATAGATTAACCTATAATTTTTTAAAATTATAAATACATTTAATAAATATAAATATAATACTTCTTGAAGGTATTCTACATAAACAACACAGTAAATTGTATAAAATTGTTTAATAATTGCTGATGAATAATTTAATTTAATAAATTAATATTAAAGCATTCTGGGTAGTATTTAATGGAATAAACTATAAAATATATTTCTTTTAAATTTATTAAATATAAATATCTAATGTAAATAAATGTAATACATACATATATAATATTTAAAAATATATATATATTTATAATTTAAAAAAATGTTTATCAAAGCTTGGTCCATAAAATACTAAAAAATATAAATTATTAAATTTTAAAAAAATTTTAAAATTTGTATATATGTACATATGTACATGTAACTTGCAATTAATTTAGTTATTTTGTAAATATTCAATATTTATTAAATGTATTTAAAATTAACAAAAAAGTGTATATCATAGCTTCTTCCATAAAATATTAAAAATATAAATTATTGAACTAAAAAACAAAAATCATAATAATTTCTGACTAACTTCTGAATAACTTCAAGCTTAAAATTGTTTGAAATTATATTTTTTGTAATGAAATAATTTCTTATATAAACAATTAATCGAATAATTATCGATTTTTAGCTAACTATCGATTTAATTATGGATCCCCAAAGTGTTAGTTGCATTTCGTGTTTAGTTGAATAAAATTTGAATACCCCTTAAATATACCCTACACAGCATAAAATATTGATACACCATTTATTCCGAGGACAAATACATTGTTTCCCGCTCAACCTTGGGCTCTTTCACACTCAATCATAAAATCTATTCCTCGTGGTAGAATCCACTCATCATTCATCAGCAGCAACAGCAGCAGCACATTGAGGCATTCAGGCATATTCAATTTGAATAAATATTTAAACTCAAGAGAAAAGTTTAAAGACCTGTTTCCACTGACTTGCTTTTCTAATCAAATTTTCTGGTTATGTTGTTCTGCTATTTCTGCGGTTCTCTCTGTGTGTGTGTGTGTGGGTGCCTTTGTGTGTGTGTGTGGGTTAAATAACTTTTACTGCCAGTTAGAATTGACTTGAAGCTTGAACTCCCAGTTGCTCTGGCAACGTTTTTCCCCATCAAACTTGTGCCTTGGGGTTCCGTGGAAGTCCTTCGTCCTCGTCTTCGTTTGTTCCTGTGTGTTCCTGGCCGTTGTTGTTGTTGTTATTAATGAGCATGCAAAAGTTTTCCACACACACAGGGAAAACTTTTCCCCACTAGGCGTATGTGTGTGTGTGCAAGTTTAATAAAACTAATTGTTAATTTAATTTGCCAGCTCGTCGTTAATTGTCAGCATGTATAATTGAATAATAACACACACACATACACACACGCACACTCACAAATGACAAGGTCTCTACAATGCCACCACCCCCCTCCATCCCGCCACCCCTTTGTCTTGCCTTGGAATCGATGCTCGTCCTACAGAAAATTAATTTACTTGCCAACTGAATGCCAAATTCCAAATGCAACCAAGAGTTTATTTTAACTTGATTGGACTTTTAATTGCATTTGTGGCTGGCACTGCATTGCTGCCCCCCCAGCCCCAGCCCTCGCCTAACCCCCTCCCTTGTCCACCAATTAACAATTGACTTTTAATGAATTCCCTATGCCCATCGGCTTTGACTTGGCTTCGTCTTGGCCTGACTTGGCTTCACTTTTCCGCCTTAGCCTTGAACTAATTACGCATACGCCATGTGTCGCTGTCTGTCTAAGCCCCGTCCCTGCCACGCTGCCACACTGCCACACACTCTCTGGCATTCGTTTCTCTGGTTTTTGGCTTAGTTTCCATTTCATTTCCATTTCCATTTTCATTTCTGTGTACAGCTGTAGTCAACTTTTATTGTTATGACACTCGTTGGAAGGGCGGAGGCGCCTCACTGCTGCCAGTGTAATGTGTAAGTGACGATTGCCGACGACTAACTAACTGTATGGGCTATATGGCTGTGCTCTGCTTGTTAGCCCACTCGTACGCACCCCCTTTCAGCCACTGCTGTTGTTTTGTTGTCAGTTCATTTGCATTTAACATTGACTTCTAAAGCTCATTGATTGTCTCTCGCACTCGCTCGGTCCCTTGCTTATATAATTAGCATTTTGGTTCAATGTTAGATAACAAGCAGGCAAGGACTCAGCGCTTTTCTCGTACACTCGAGGGGTCGTCAGGCGTCATGCAGCAGCAGCCATGGGTTACAGGGTCTTTGCCTTGGTGTCCGCTTGGACCACCTCATGGTTGTGTTGTTGCGGCTACAGGAGTCACGCGTCATGCAGCAGCAGCCATGGGTTACAGGGTCTTTGCCTTGGTGTCCGCTTGGACCACTACAAGGTGGCGTTGTCACGCGTCGTGCAGCAGCGGCAGCCGTTGGACCTGCTGCGCGATACCTGCGTATCCTGCTGCAGGAGCGCGAAGGCTTGTCTGTACTAATTTAGATGTTGGTAACAGGTTCCAAAAAGTGAATGTATCCTTTCGCTTATGGGAAATGGCATGCTATTTCTTATAAATATGTATTTCTTCCACCTTCTAATTAGCCTTCTCTATAGCCAAGTTATCCTGTGCCTTTTCTGATATTTTCCCACAAATCTTCCCTAAATATTTTCCTTGTACAAGTATTTATTGCCTTTTGTCCTTTTCCACAAATTATTATTTCATATAAAGTTTTTATCTACCTTCGTGTCCGCCATCCCTCTTCCCCTAATTATCCACACCCCCACCCCCTGCTCTTTTGTGGAAAACTTTTTGGCCATCTTCGAGTGTACGGACAAGTATTTGTTTTGTTGTTATTTTCGGTTGAAAGTTATGACCAAGTTAAGTTCTTCTTCTGTTCTGTTCTGTTGTTGTGTTGTTGTTGCTGTTGCTGTTGTTGTTTAGCTTAGCTTCCTTGTTTGCCCATGTACTTCATTGTGGTGCTGTTGTTGTTGCTGGCATTGTGAATGAATTCAATTAGCATTCATATTATTCATACACTTGATTCGTCGTCGTTTGCTCGGTTGTTCGTTCTTGTTCAAGATTACCCTGTAGGCGTACGAGTATATCTGTTTTTTGGGGCAGATTGAAGCATCTCTAACGTCTTTGATACTTGATGATTTTTGTTTCGAAATAATTATTAATTTATGGCTGAAAAAATGGCAAAGATCTGTGGAAGGTAGTCAGGGCAGCAGTTAGAAGAGCTGGGAAATAGCGCTGTTAACAGTCCAACAGACTAACAGTCTGTTAAAGCGGGCGGTTTCAGTTATCTGTTACCGATCGACGTTAACAGCCTCTAACCGGGCTCGTTAACAGTCACTAGCCGCTCTCGTTTACAGATCACTGTAGCGGCTCTCCTTAACAGACCACTGTAGCGGCTCACGTCACTGTTACTGGTCCCGACTTTCTGTTACCGCTGAATGTTATAGCTCTCTGTTACCGCTGACTGTTACCGCTCTCTGTTACAGCTCCCTGTTCCAGGTCCCAGGTCTCGCTTCCGCTGAATGTTACCGCTTTCTGTGACAGCTCTCTGCCAAAGCTGACTGTTACGTCACCGCTGACTGTTACCGCTGACTGTTACCGCTGACTGTTACCGCTCACTGTTAACGCCCTCTCACACTGCTCTCACGATCCACAAGCCTCCCGAGCGGCTCTCCTTACATATTTTTAGGCTATTAATTCCCCCTCTAAGAGAGTATACGGTATAAACTGCTTCTACACCCTCTAAATCTACCATTCCCTTCTCCTGTGTGTGCTCAACATTGAATAACATTTATTTGCCCTGCCCTGCCCTGCCCTGCCCTGTCCTGCCCTGTCCTGCCCTGCCATTGTGTTGCCATTGTTCTTTGTTTTGCTGCTACTGCCGCTGCTGCCTCTTGTACAACTAATAAACAAATAATTTGGCTTGTAAACTTGCCCCCCACCCCAAAAAAGAAAAAACACATCCTTCAGAGACCCCCGAACCCGTATCGAACCCATCCCAGTGTCTTTGGGGGCAGCACTTGACTCAATTGCCTTCAAAATAATTGGCCAATAATTCAGTAAAAATGACCACTTAATTTTGGTTTCATAATAATTTACCAGAGAGTGCCAGAGCCTACACCACACTCCACTCTCCACTCTCTCTCGTGTCGTGTCGTGCCGTGTCGTGTGTGTATCTCACGCCAATCTTTGGGGAATTGCCGGAAGTTGGTCCGTTCCGTTTCGGTACGACCTGTACGCTCAATTGCCTTGAGTGGAGCCGAGTGATGCATCGTTTCAAGTACGTTTGAAGGTCAGTCATGGAAAATGTTGATGTGCCATCTATTTCTCTCTTTATGTATATGTATATCTATATGTATCTCTCTCACTTCATAAATATTTCAAAGGAATAAAGTTTTTTTTTTGGGGTGTGGGAAAGGGACTTACATTATGCTTCCATACAACTTTATAAGCAGCCGGATTTGCATGCACTTTACACTCGAAATAGACATCATCGCCCTCCTCGATATCCTCGGGATTCAGATTGGAGCCCAGGTCCAGCTGCAATGTGGGTATGACTGCGAAAAGAGAGAGAGAGAGAGTGAGAAAATACAGAGGGATGAGCATTGTATTCATTTGCATTTTGCAAGAGCTTCGCCAGGGCTTAAGATCTAGGACTCCTTCGCTCTCGGATGTAATTTGCTGTCTTGGACAATCCTTCAGCCCCAAAAAAGAGGTTGCCATGGGTGGGTGTGGGTAAGGGTGGGTGGCAAAAAAAGGGGGTTAATCTAAGCTTATCTGTGATTAGTGTCGCTTCGCCCTCTTTTTGCCACTTTTCTATCTCTGTTCTGTTTGCCTCTTCCTCCCTCACCGTCCCTCACCCACCCTCACCTTTTTCCCCCACTTGTTTATTATTATTTTCCACATTGTTTTTCGGCAAGTTTTCTTCTACTTTCCTTTCCTGCTTGTAGTTTGGGTCTTTCCTCCCCCCATCCACCCCGCCCCCTGCTCCAACTTCTATAAGCAAGTTTTCTTTAAGCCGATTTCGTCTTTTGCAAAGACTTGTTAATGAAAATGAAAAGTGCTTGCCTTAACACACACACACAAAGAGAGAGAAAGCAGGAGAGAGTGGGGCTGGGGGCTGGGGGCTGGGGGAGGGGTGTGGGACAGAAACGGACAATGAGCGACAGGAAGATGGAGTCAAAGCAGTTTGCATAATTTAAAGAGTTTTCGCAGGCTTTTCTCTCGAGTCTTCTTTTACGCTCAACAAGTTCATTAGCGGATGACTTTAAGCCCAGGAAAACTCAGGCAAAAAACTAACGACACAGACAAGGACAAGGAACATTCTCTCTAGAGAAGAGCACTCCCCAGATGGAGAGATGGAGGCCCATGTCCCTGGCGGCGGGGGTTCAAAGACAGAGAGATGGAGACCCTCTGGAGGGGGCAAAGCCAGAGAGAGATGGAGATCCATGTCCCTGGCGGCGGGGGCAAAGACAGAGGCCATGTCTCTGGAGGGGGCAAGTGGCAAGCGGCAAGAGTTTTCTCTTGTGGACAGCGACTGAGAGGCCAAACTGGAAAAGTGGCTGCCTGGCTGCCCGGCTGCCCGGCTGGCTGTCTGTCTGGCAGGCCACACTGTTGCGGTTAGGATGGGCTTAAGTGGTAATAACTGTCACTGGACGAAAGCTGGCCAACTACTACGTCTCTCTGGCTAATGCATTTTATGGTTCTACAGAGAGACGCAGACGGAGGAGGTCCGAAAAAACCCAAACTGCAGCTTAACGTAACGACTTTTGAGTGCCATTGCCACACTGCCAGTGCCAGTGCCAGTGCCACATTATGTTGCAGCTGCAACTCTCTGCATCTTTGTGTGTGTGTGTGTGCCCCCTCCCCCCTCCCTGTCATTGTCTATTGCACACAAAACTTGGACAAGTTCTCGTTAGCAGACCCTTAAATTGATTCCCTGCCTGCCTGATCCTCTGCTGCCTGTCCCTCTGCTGCCTGCCCCTCTGCCGCCTGCCCCTCTGCTGCCTGCCACACATAAATTACATTATATTTTGAAAGTTTTATGCCATTTTCTCTTGGTTTTTTCCTTTTGGAAAATTGGCTTACGACCCGCACAATTAATTGCAAATATAGTTTGGGGAAAAGCCGTCTTTTTTCTACACACTTTCCTGCCTTGTCATTGCCCCCACCCCCCACCACCCAGCAGGTAAAAGGTTTTCCTGTGGCTGATTGTGTGGAAAATGATATCTGTCTGCCACAGAGAGGGGCAGGGGCAGAGCGAATTAAGATATATTAAAGATAACGCGTTTTTATGGCCTCCTGTGATATAATGAGAAAATTATTGGCAGCGCAGCTTACCCGTCCACCCCCCCTCTCCCCGCCTCCACTCTCTTTTCCATCATCATTGCATCAACTTTTCAATTTCAGACCCCCCCTCCCCCACCACCGAAAGGCAAACAAAGAACGTTCTTAAAAAAGACACAAAATTGTTGAAGGAAGGACGGTGGGGTAGGAGGGAGGTCTGGGTCCGGGTCGGGGTCGGGTGTCGGGTGGAAATATGAAATCTCTGGTAGGAAGTGGGAGGGCAAAATATTTTAAGCACGCTATAAACATGTAAATGAGCATGGAAATTGAAATTGTTATCTAATTTTTTATATCAGCGACGAGACGCGATGCGACGCGACGCGACGTGGAGCATCCTCCAGTAGCCAGGCAGACAGCAGCATCCAGCAGAGCTCCTTCGAGTAGCCACAACGAAAGGAGTAAAAGTTTCAATGGCATTTGGAGGAACGGAACGAGGCGGCAAGCTTTTTAGATAATAGCAAACCCGTGGCAACTGTTTGCCCAAGACGTCAGCCGAACCCCTCCAAGGATGAGGACACGAGACTATTGAAACATTAAGGAGCTGTGCCTGCCACGAGTGTGTGTGTGTGTTTTTCCCGCTTTAAAGTAAGCTTTTTCTTTCGCCTTTTGCCCCTGATTCCCCCCCATCGCAAACATAAAACAAACGATTGACATTCGAGTGAGTTTTTGGCAGCCATTCGTATGCAAATGAATATTGATTCCATCCCGCCCCTCCCCCCAAAAAAAGGGCGAGGGACAAGGACATGGGCGATAAGCGGTTGACATAGTTTATGGAATCCGCCAACAGAAACGGAAACAGACACAGAACCAGAACCAGAACCGAGGCCCATTGATGGTTTATGGGGGACACCACTCATAAAGCACTAGTGGCATATGCCATCATGGCAAGAATGGGTGTTATTAGTGGCGGAATTTCGGGGCTAGAGAATGTACTTTAAGCTTTGCGGGTTCTATGGGCTTAGAAATAAATATTTCAATGGGTTTGGGGCTAAAAATACAGGCAAAATGGGCCTCAATTAGGAGAGTTTTGGGGCTGGTAGGGCTCTCGGCTTTCTATTTATATTTTGAGAGATTTTAAGAGATCTTTAAGCATTAATTTAGGCATCAAAATTACTGCAGGGAAAGAGCTAGGCCTACTGTTTTCCTGTTCTTTAACATTTTCTAATATTTTTTAATTATTCAAATTAATTCAAATATATTTGGAGAATTTGGTGGAGAATTTTGTTGGAGCATTTCTTGGCAGAAGGTACCAGAAGTTCTATCATAATGAATAGCTATTTGTATCCTTTCAAATATTTCAAAAATCTTTAAAAAAGGCAATTAATTTATTTAATTAAAGAACTGACTTTAACGTTTTTTTTACAGACATCATTACAAAACCAGACTTAATTTTTTGTCTTTATTTTTATATTTTTTTATATTTGATTGATGTTAATTTTTTTGCAAAGGATTATGTATTTTAATTTGAGCTCAATTTTATTATTTAATCTTTATGAAATGTTATTTTATTTATATACTTTTTTTTGGTAATTTTTAATTTTTCTGTAATTTTTTCTTCATATTTAAAAGTTTTGTTCAAAATTTAATTTAAAATTTGTTTAAATTTAATTTTATTTATATAATTTTTGTTTGTTTTATTATTAATTTTCTTTTTTACTGTTTTTTTAATTATTTACAAATTTTTTTTGTTGAATTTTTTGTGATTCTTTTTTTTTTGTAATTTAAAAAATATTTGTATCTACTTACAGAACACATTCAGCTTCATGGCCGTTTCCCGTATGCCATTCCGCACCAGCTCGTTTGTGGCGCGACAGGACAAGGCCTTGCCATGGTCCTCCCTTGTGGGGGTAATCGACAGCACCGAAGTGCTGACATTGCCATCCTCAGAGACCTGCGGGAAAAAAGAATAGCTGTAGATATAGAGATCTCTCTTTCTCGGGGATTACGTGTACCTTCTGGCTGTGCCCGTGGAGCTCTAGATTGCCCATCCACCAGGTGATCTTCGCCGGGGGTCGAGAGCCAATCGCCTGGCACTCGATCTCGTATTTGCGGTCCGCGGACATGGGCTGATTGTTGAAGCTGATTTCCACCAAAAGGGGACGCACTGCAACGGCAAAGGCAAAGGCAAAGGCAAACAGTTTGTTTATGAGCGTGTGGCATTAATTTCCATAGTTAATTTATTTGCTTAAATGGCATTTAAGGCCCGGCGTTTTCTTTTATTTTTTGGTTCGTTGCCGGGCAGCGCTTTTTGTTGATTTATTCAAATTGTGTGTGAAAAATCGAAAACGAAATGGAAATGGAAATGAAAATGACAGGCAATGCAATTAAAATTAATTGCAACAAATTACGATTCTCTCTCTCTCGCTCTCTCGCTCTCTCGCTCTCCCGCTCTCTGCAGAGCAGCAACAAAAATCGCGGCAAATGTGGCAACAATGTGTGGGGCATGGAAAAAGGGACACATAAACGCTATGATAAATATCGGAAAGGACTACAAAAACGCCAAGGCAAATGTCAGGAAAATATATCAGAGAAAATATCAATTAAATAAGCAACGAGAAAATCCATAAAGAAAACAAAGCAAATGAAAAGGCGGAAAATCCCATTTATATAGTTTTAAAGAACCCAATTTAATGACGAATCTCTGTGGAAGTTATCTATTCAATAAATAATTGCCATATGTCCTGGTAGGCAAGGGATCCCCATGGCCAATGACCAATGGCCAATGGCCAATGACCAATAAATATTCATGCAATTATCATTTTATGTAATTTGAATATTTGTTAATATTCATATGCTGACAGCAATTATTGTTTACCCACAAAATTGAAAAAGTGCCAGGCAAAATATATATAGGATATCAGGTGGAAAAACAAATACCATGCCATCACGTAGGGGGTTTTTTTTTGGGTTTAAGGTTCATTATCGGCATTTTCAGTCATTTTTCACCATCCTCCTTATCAATATTATTTTTATTTGTATTTGTATTATTTTTAATGGTTTTTTCTGTGCGTCTTTTTCTGCATTTTACTTTGGTTTTCAATTTGAAAATTATTATAAATATTAAAATTGGCATTTTGTTTGTTTGGCAGATTTTTAGGAGTTATTATTGGCAGTGGATTGGGGTATGGAAAGAGCTCTTTAATTGTGGAATTTCAGTTTTAAATTGGTATCAATCTAATGCGATTTGAAAGGGGCTTAGGTTTCGCTTTGATTAATTATTTTAGGCATTCCAAAAAGGGTTTCATGGCATACTGCTATTTGGGGTAACACGCCAAAAAACCCAAAAATTAAGCAAAAGCCACAGTAGTCTTCTGTGAAGACTTTTCTTAGGAGAGTTGCTAAGAAGGAAAAGCCATTGAAGGAATTAATGTGAGAGGAAAATAGATACAATTTCTTCTTAAATATTTTATACTTTTTTCTTTTTTTTTTCATATGATCGAGCGTCCATCTTCATACTTTTGCCATGGCCATATATTCGGTATTTTTCTAGATTGGCCGTACATTCATGAATTATTAATACAAACTAGGGATGCCGTATGGCCTAATAGGAGTTATCCTACCGCCATAAAGCTGCTCCTTTCTCGCCAAGCTGAAGAGCCCAAGATCTGGGGAGTTTCTCTGCCCCGAAAGATCCTTCCCTGTAGTCCATCAATTTTTCCATTAAAAACCCTTTACCACAGGTAAACGATCGTTCGATCTGCCATCAACTGCTTAGATGGTATCCATTTCATGAATAAATCATTGCTGATTGCAACGCTTGCACCGCATTATGCTATTGATACAATCATATCTGCATTCCATATATATTTTTTCCAACGACATGGCCAGGTTAAGCTCCACTTTTGTTGTTGCAACATTTACTGCGGTTGGCCGCGCATTTTGTGCGTTAATTTAAAGGCGTGACATTTCAGTTAAGCCAAAATGCGATGATAAAAACTGGAGGCAGTGGAAAACTATCTACAATTTTATTTATTTATTTTTTTTTATTTCCTTTGATGGTGAATGGTAAATGCTGAATGCTGAATGGTGTTGCAGCATTTATATATATTTTACTTGCATATATTACAATATTATTTCAATTTTTTATGCTGTCCTGCCGTTGTTTTCATTTGGCATTGAACAGGTTTGTTTCTGTTTCTGTTGCTGTTGCTGTTACTGTTCGCGTTTTATTGTAATTAAATTAATTATGCACATTTGCATTGGAAAATCGTTTAAATGTTTAATTAAACGCACTACACACAGAGTGGCGGAGGGAGGGAGTGAGGGGGAGAGAGAGCATAGAATATATGTATAAAGCCTCTAAAAGAAGCGGCAACCCGTGTCCAATTATGCAAACAAGGGCATTAAACTTTTAAATTGTTTAAAGCAAAAAAAAAACACAGATGGTACACCTGTAAAAACACAATAAATTGAAAGAAAGAAAAGAGTTACAGCTTCCATTGAAATTGGGGATTTCTATGGTGTATTTTCACACAAATAAATAGATATTTCATCAGCCAGATCTACACCAAACCCAAGGATCCCGAGACCATCATCTCGGCCTCCCGTGGGAGGTACTCTAGAACCGCTTTCCCGAGTGACCTAGCCGAAACAAAGGAGCCATCGAATCATGTAGCCATCTGCAGACAAGACCCTGGAAGTCGGCCTAGAAGCCCCTTCTACGGCCACTTCTAATCTCCTCCTGGTCTTCAAAGGAATCAACTACAAATCCGAGAAACTATTGCTAAAAATGGAAGCCCCAAAACCCCTTTAAAATCTTCAAGGAAGCACCTCCAAGAGCTACAGCTGCCACAGGAATCCACAGGAGTTCTTGGACGTAGCTCTGCCCCAAAATGTATGCTATAGTTTTTTTTTGTATTTATCAAAACCAACGAGAATTTCCTCCACAAATAAATTTATTAAGAGCTAAAATTAAAACTAAATCTAAGAAAAAAATATACAAAAAATAATCCCCATATAATTCTTCAATTATGGTTTTATTTTTTGTTGTTTTTTGTGTCAAGGGGCGAATCCTTAAAGTGTGTGCTAATGAGGCCTATCCTACCTCATAATTGTGTTGCCACCCCCCAGCAGTCGGGGGGCTGGGGTTATGAGGAGGGTCTAGTATCGTGACGGGCGTAATCTAATTGTTAGTGGCCATAAAATTAACTAATTAAGGTCAGACTTATTATTCAACTAGCTTTCTCCCTCTCTCCCTCCCCCTCCCTGTGACTATTACACGCAAAGTACGAGCAAAAAACGCCCCACGCAATGCTGCCCTCGTCTTTCAAGGTCATCTATTGCACATGCCGCTAATAAGGCCCAAAATGAGGTATAATGTCTTTAGTGAACTTTGGGGCACATTAATTGACCCAATCGTATGTGTGGCATGCCCCCCGCATCGCCCATCATTATTAATGCCCGCCGCAATTGCTACACATGCCACCAATGGGGGCGCAATAATATCAAATATGCGGCGCATCACCAGCTGCCGCAGGAATATTTTCAACATTTATTTTGGTGGGTGGGGAGGGACAGAGGACTTGACATCAATTGCTTTGGCATTTTGAGACGCCATGACAGACGCGCCGAAAGTGCCATAAAATTCTATGGCCAATCTTTGGATGTTAGCGCAATGCCGACTGGGGGCTAATAATCAAGTGGCAGGCAACAAAATATTATAGGTGTAAGGGCCATCAAAAGACGGGAAGAGGGAAAGTGGAGGCAGTTTTTGGATAAAACTGAAGGAGAGGTGTAAGAGAGAATATCTCAAGGAAAGAAATTTCATGGGCTACCCATCGGTGGTGCCCGAAATAATTCCTGATAACTCCCAGTCTAGGGTTATCCACTCCATGCATTGAGTCCTTAAATAATCCTCAATCATTCCGCTTTTTAGCCATGTTTCATTTGGGATTTTTGGAGCCTTGTAACAACAAAATATTATAGATGTAAGGGCCATCAAAAGAGGGAAGAGGGAAAGTGGAGGCAGCCGAAGGAGAGGTGTAAGAGAGAGTATCTCAAGGCATGTCTGTCATGGGCTACCCATCGGTAACTCCTGGTAACTCCTACTCTCCGAATTTCTATGCCATTCATTGAGTCCCAAAATAATCCTCAATCATTGCGCTTTTCAGCGATTTTTCATTTGGGATTTTTTTTTTTTTTTTTAGAATGCAAATCCCTTAAAATGCACTCCCCCCTGACCCCCTGACCCCCGTGACCCCCTGTCCGCCCGCGTGCTGTGACTTTTGAAACTAATAAAGTTGATGGAATTTTTTTCATGGCATATTTGTCATTCCAAATAAACTCTTGCTGCAACAACAGCTTGCCCTGACACAAATCCCGCCATCCCCACGCCCCCCGACTGGCTCTTGCAGCCTTTGGAATTGGCAACAATTTAATTCAATTTAACAATTTGCATGGCCATTGCAACGATTCGGGGCACAGACGGGGCACAGTCGGGGGGGCGTGTGGCACTAGAGGCATTTAAAAAATTGTCACAAAATAATAAATCGCATTCGGGATGCGAGGCACGGCCGGACCTGGCCTGGCCCGGCACTTCACTAACCTGAACAGAAGGGGGGGGGGGGGGGGGGGGGGGGGGTGGGGGGGGGGTGGCAGAGGGGTAGGGGGTAGGTTCAAACAATATGTGCCAGGTCAGGGGTCAGGCAGTGTGTACATACATAGGTAGGAATAAGTTACGCACACAAATGTTGCTATTCTGTTTTTCCCAATTATTTTTTTTTTGTATGGCAATACTTTCTCTCTTACCCCCTCCCTCTCTCAACCCCCTTTGCCCCACTGTGTTTCTGTTGTGTGCTATATTTTGTGATATTTGCATAAGCCATTTTATTATCTATTTTTGTTGTGTTGTTGCCAACCCACTTTCCCGCTTCCTTTCTCCTTTCTCCTTTTTTTTTTGTTCCTGTGTTTGTTTTTATCTGCGCAGCTATTTGTTAAAACTTTTATCGCAACGCTTAAAACCCCCTCCCCTACCGCCCCCTGCAAACCCTTGAAATAATCTGTTTGCCAAAAAACATTTTTAGCAGCATATTTTCGGTGGAAAACATTTAATGAATGAAGGGAAAAACCTAGTACTCACGGTATAGCTCAATGGTTATATTGGTGGCCACGTATTTCTTGTGGAAATTGCTCGCCTGGCAGGTGTAGACCGCATGCTGGTGGATGCGTGACAGGTTGCGGACCACCAGTTTGCTGTTGATGGTCCCATCGTAGGTGTAATCGACAACGCTGTTCTGCAGCTGCCCATTCATCAGCCAGGTGACAGTGGGTGGTGGAGAACCTAGGGGAGAGACAGAGACGGGGGGATGAGAGTGATTATTAAAGGTGCTGTAGAGCAAATAATTGCTTGTCGTTTGCTTAAATCGTATCTAGTGTTTTTAATCTTAAGGCTACCAAATAGCCCATGATTTTCGGTAATAGATGCTCTCAGTTATTGTTTGATTGCTTAATTGAATTTCCAGTGATTAAAGATCCTTCGTTTCTGGCACTTGAAAGAGACCTTGCCACTTGATTCGAGCTACTAATTAAGTCTGACTGACTACACGCTTGTTAACTGATTTGCTAGACGTGAAGGTGGCTTCAATGGCATTGCACTCACTCGAAGGAGAGTGAGTCTCTTGAACACACACACACGCACGCTCCAGGCAGCGCACATTACTCATACGCAGCGTGTGGCACTGTGGCAGTGTGGCGGCAGCACTTGGCCGCTTTTAACGACTTCAACTTAATCAAGCGCTGAAATTAGCTTTTGTGTGCGTATATGAGCGCACATTAATTTAATCGCAACGGGTGGTCCGTCGAGCAAAGAAAAATAAATACACTACAAGAAAACGGGAGCGAGGCTTTTCTATGTATGCATGTATTTTCTCAAGTGTATGACATATATTATACAATAGTTATTATTATGCTTGATGACTGGCCATCAAACAAATACAAGTGCCATTAAATCCACCTGCAAAACAAAAATATATTTAACTAAACCACGGGCATAGACGTGCCCCCCAAAAACTGCACTTGATTTGTGTCACACACACACAGAACACACACACACACACACACATATAAGGGCACACACATTACTTTGATTAATAACAGAGCCATTTTGGTTGAGTTTTATGTTGTTTATGAAAATATTTCACAAATATACTACCCAAAAAAATACACATGTATCCGCCTGTGTGTGTGTGGAGTAGATTAGCGCATGTGTGTGTGTAGCAAGGAGGCTTAATGGTTGCCTGTGATTTATTAGCCTTTTCCCTTAGCCAAAGGAAAAACAATGCAAAAAAATAGGCAACAGCGGCAGAGGGGGCAGAATGGGATACAAATTTTGTTTTGGCAATGCATTTCTTTAATTTTTGGCTGCAGTCCCTGTTTAAAGAACTCTTTGCCTTAGTTTTTCCTACAAAACTTTTTCGCTTTCGCTTTTTTAAAGCCTCGTTTCCAAGTTTCTTCTGGCCTCCTCGTCTCGTCGCTTCTCTTCTTCTCTTTTTTTGCTTTTAATGTCAACATAAGGTGCCACACACACACACACACACACACGCACACACTCAAAGTTTGCACTAGTTCTTTTTTTTTGCTGTCCTTCCTTTTATTTTTCTGTGTTTTTTTGTTGAGTGCTTTGCCATTTTTAGAGCAGGCATCAAAAAACGGGTTTTTGTGCCACAGCGACAGAGAGAGAGAGAGAGAGGAGGAGGGGGAGAGAAAGCGATGCAAAAGAGGCGACATTAGCATTTCTTTGCCACCTGTCCAACCGTCCACCTGGCAGCAGGCATGAGGGAAAACCCGCCTCCTAATGAGCAGCAGCAGCAGCATTCAAATGCGTGCCAGTTTTTAGCGCTTTTCTTTTGAGGAAAAGCAGCAGCAGCGGCAGCCTTAAAGCAGACCGCGCGCCTACTCCGCACGGCCAGGGGACTATGGGAGTGCTCTACGAAATTTTCTGGTAATTTTTGGGCTGGTTTTGTGGGAAAATAAATGAACTTCAAGCATTTTATTTTTGGAAAATATTAGAATTATTTTTTACTCTTTTTGGATTATTTTCTTGCACTTCTATGCCCTTGGGGACGAGTTGGAACGTAAATAATGCTAGCTCGATAGCCGTGTGGATCGTGAGAGAGCTTTAACAGTGAGCGGGCTGTAATCGAGAGCTTCCACAGACTGTTAACAGGCCAATGAAGCTAGACTGTTAGCAGGCGAGGGAAATAACATACTGTTAACATGGGCTGTAAACAGATCTATTGCCCGGTTAGTGCTGCTGTGATAACATACTGTTAGCGTGAGCTGTAAACAGATCTATGGCCCTGTTAGATCTGCTGCTCTGCCGTGATAGCCTACTGTTAATGTGGGCTCTAAACAGAGCTGCTGCCCTGTTAGTGCCGCTGCTGGCGTGGGCTGTAAACAGAGCCGTTGGTTTGTTAGTGCTGCTGCCTGTACACAGGATCCTCTCTCAATCTTCAATGGTATCTTTACAGCAAAAATCATGTCTCTGCCCCACAGTCCTTTCCTCGCTGTGGCACTCACTTATGTGTGCTCTTGCACACAACGTTGCCCACGGTTTCCAGGACTCTTATTCTCTTTCAGAAGTCCCTATTTCTTGTTGCCTTATTGTTCTGTTTGCCGACACACACACACACAAAGAGAGAACACACACACAGATGCAGATGCAGAGATACAGTGAAAAGTGGAACTTCTGGCTTAGTTATGCAATGCTGAAATATTTGCTTGTTTAGTTTTGCATATCTTTTCTGCATCTGCATCTCTCGTGCATCTGCTTTTGGCTTTTACTCGCTTGCGTTTGCTTTGGATTTTGGATACACCGCAGCCAAAGGGTGGTGGTGGGGGCGGGGTATTTCGAGAGGGTGCCTTGGGAAGCAAACAAAGCACTTAAGAAATAGATGGAGAAAACACAGCAACAACCATTTCGGGAATCATGCTGCTGCTGTTGCTGGTGCATGCTACATGCTGCATGCTGTATGCTGCTCGTGATAGTTACACACACAACAACAACAACAGCAACAACAACAACAAAAGCACAAAAGGAACAAGTAAAAACCCTCTGCCATGCCACACATAAATATTTTTTATGTTTTGTTGTCTTTGCTACACTTTCTGTTTGCTCAGCGCGCTCTCCCTTTCTCTCTCTCTCTCTCTCTCGCTCTCTTTCCTCTCTTTTAGTGGGTGTTTGCCCCTCCCACTCTCTCTTTGCTCTCGTCGTGTCTGCTGTTTTGGCATTTGGCCTTTTGTCCATTGAGGAAGTTGTTAAATAAATTTAAAGCTTTCGCTAACTTCAAGGATCGTCTGCAACAAACAGAATTTCGGAGTCCACTCGGGGACTCCACCACTCCACCATTCAATTGTCATTTGTTGTTCTTTTTAAAGGGAGAAAAAGCTGAATCCTGGTTTAAATAAGAATTTAAGAATGTTTTACAGAACATTTGAGGAAAGTATTCCATCTACGGTAGAGACATTGACTGGTGGTTGGACCACTCGATGAATCAATAGCCATAGGGCATAGACCCCTACCGAAAAGAAACCCATACATGAATGAGCCCCAAATAAATTCAGAATAATTACCAAAAAAATAAACAACAAATAGCAAATAAATACATAAAAAATACCAAATAAATACCAAATAAATATAAAAAATACCAAAATAAATACATAATAAATACCTGATAAGTAACAAATAAATTCATAATAAATACCAAATAAATACGTAATAAATACCAAATAAATACACAATAAATACCAACGTAAATACATAATAAATAACAAAAAAATACATATTAAATACCAAATAAATACATATTTAATATCAAATACCAAATATATACCAAATAGCTATAAAATAAGTAGCAAAAAAATAATAAATATCGAAAATATACCAAACAAATACATAAGTACCATATAAATACCAAACTAAATAGATAATAAAAACGTAATAAATACCAAACAAAAAAATAATAAATACCAAATAAATACGTAATAGATACCAATTAAATACATATCAAATACCCAATAAATTCCAAATAAATACCAAAAATCAACAAAATAAATACCAAAAGTTACTGTTTTTAAATATCATGATAAATGATTTTTCATTCCTTTTTTATTTGAGAGCTTTAGAAAAGTTCTCTGTGAAAAGTCGCCTCCTCCTGTCGTGGTTTCGTGTCTAATTCTATTCTTTCAAAGTGCCACTGCCACTGCCACCGCCACCGCCACAAAATGCTTTCATTTGAAGGCAATGTGGCAATAAATGAAATATAAATGAGCCTTGGTATTATGCGAAATGTTGTGGCATAGAAGACTTGCCACTTTGCCACATAGCAAGTACCCCTTGCACTTTCCACCTCCACCATTTTTTCCTTCTTGTAAATAACTTGTTTGCTGCAGAGGGGACTCCCCTTTTGTGTTGCACTTTCCTGCTTTGAAATGTGCCACAACAACAACAACAACAAAAAGTGGAGTAATAATAATAATAATAATAATAACAGCAACAAACAGGCAAAAAAAAAAAGAGTGTGGGAGCGAAAAAATATAAAAAATGCATACAATTTTGTAGCCGGCTACAACCTGCCTTACAACAGCAACAGCCATAACAATATGGCCAACGTTCACTTTGGGCCAAAAGCGGAAAACGCCTGCACTTCCGTTTGACACACACCCCCCGAACAGTGGAGAAAGATGGAGAGAGTAAGAGAAAGCCATTTCTAGCACACTTTTTAGTTTTGCTGGATATGCATTGAGGGATATATAGTAGAGGGTATATTGGGTTTTTGGTGAGAGATTGAAAGGAGAGACGATCCAGAGATTAGATCTTAAAGTTAGCGTCTGAAACTCTTAAGGAAGGTAGCCCTTTCTTCTAGTATTCCTTCGACTATTGGAGTATCTCTTGACCTTTGATTACCGATTTCTTCTCATAGCCTTCCCTTCTTTTAGTAGTAGTTGTTCTTGCCTGAGGCCTAACCTCAAGGACTGACTGATGGACAATGGGATGGATATCATTGAGTATCTTAGGGATATGTAGAGCCACTTCCTTCTTCCTATATATTTTCTATATATTTTCTTATTTATTGTAGCTTCTTTTCTCTTTTAATGGCTCATACAAAAGCCAACAAAAGGGTACCAAAATATTCGATATGGTTGCCCTCTTGCCCTGTTTCTTTAATGTTTTCCTCTGGTGCTTTCAATACTCCAGTCAGTATATGCTCCAGGGAGCGCGAAAAGCAATGGCTAGAATGGGTCCTAGAAGCCGCGTGTAAAATTCATGACGTGCAAAAGAACGGCAACGTTGAATATTATGCATTAGTGGCCACATAAACCCAACCCCCAAGCCCCCAAGCCCCCAAACACCCACCGCACAATGGCTGCCCCTTAGTCCAACCATCCCCCTCCCCAACCGCCCCCCGAAAAATGTGTGTATATTCTTTATGATTTTGGGAGCGACGGAGTCGAGTCCCTTTTGTAGATTGGTAATTTTTACAACCCACACAGACTGTGTGCCTGCTGCCACCTCTGGCTGCTGTTTTTTTGTTTTTGGTTTATAACTTTATTTCTTCTCTCTCTGTCTCTCTTTTGCCATGGCGTGTCGCGTTCATTTGAAATAGAAACCCCTTCCATCTGCAATAAAATTTACAGCTTCTTGGCCGATATTTTGCACACTCTTAAGGCCAAAACCCCACCATCGGCCACCTCCTCCTCCACCACCTATTCTTGGCCATTTCCATCTGTCGTGCAGCACTCGGCTGCCACTGCCACAGCCACAGCCACAGCCGCTTCCTGCTGCTGCTGCTGCTTCTGCTGCTGCCTCCTTTTTGACTTACTTTCTGCTGATTGCACTTGTTTAAGTGGCAACTTTTTGCAGCCACTTTATGGGTCTACTCTCTCCGTTCTGTCTTTTTGTTTCGGCCACAGTATTGCACTTTCTGTAATGGACATTGCATGTTGCATGTTGAATGCCCAAAGACCCAAAGACCACAGAGTGAGACAGGCAGCAGACCAGGATTTTAGGCATAATGTCAGGCCTTTGCTGGTAATTCATTTCCGCCCACTGTTTAAGATTTAGCCCCCCACCGCCTCCGTAAGGCTTTTCAATTTTCCAATTTTACACAATTTTCTGGCGGGGGATTGAGACATAATTGAGATATCACTGGGTATTAGCCGTGGGGCAGGAGCAGGGTCTTCCAATTTGTTGCCTGTTTAAAATGTCAGCCCTTGCCACACACACACCCCACCCCCTCTCTTGCCCCATCGGGCACTATTCCAATTGCTTTTCCTTTTACATTTCCCCCTGTACCCCCCTCCCACCCTTCCGTTTTTTTCCTTGTCAACGACTCCGCATGCAGCATGTATTCACATTTGTACATTTGCAACATTCTCCTTGCCCCCATTTAATTGGCACATACAACATTTTGAGTGCCCGCCCCCCCATTCCCCCACATGCTTTTCCCCACTTGTAAACGCCCAGGCAACTACTGGCCAGAACCAGAAGCAGTTAACAGTTTGCCAAGGCAGTTTCAAGTGCAGTTTCCTCTGACTCCTGGCTCCTGGCTCGGGCTCGGGCTCGGGCTCTGCCTCTTCTTCGGGGTCTCCTCCATTGCTCCGTTGCTCGGTGATTTATTTTATGTCAACGTTGACATGTCAAACCATTCAAAGTGGTTTCGCTTCCGCTTTAACCCCCGAAAAAAACACCCCACAAACGAAACAAAAGGAGTACGCAACAGCAGCGGCAGCGGCAGCAACAGAAGCGATAAAGCACGCGATTGCTGTGACATACTTATGTCGGGCACTGTTCTTGTTGTTGTTGTTTTTTTATAGAGGAGCAGCAGGACATATAGCTTGTCCTGTGGCTAGGGTTCTGTCGGTTCCAGCTTCGCATTTCTTTCCACTGGGACTGGGACTGGAGCTGGGGCTGGGGGGGTCTTTCGGCTCTGTCATTTTATTCTTTCATTTAATCTTTATTTTGGTTTTCATTAACAGCAATTGACTCCCGGGTATGAAGAGAGAGTGGGTTGGCCGTAATCGTACTCGTAATCGTAGTGTGTGTGTGTGTGCGGGTGTACACTGAGAAAAATATGAACAATAAACAGACAAAAAGAGACGGAAAAATAAGGCAGAAAATGTGATAAAAATGTATACAAATCGAAAATGTCAAAAAAAAAATATCTACAAAATATTTATAAATTTTTTAGCATATTTTTGGTCTGGTTTTTATAGAAAATTAAGGTCTAAAAGACTTCAAATATTATTGTATAAAAAATAATAAATAAATAAATTAAAAATAAATTTTAAAAAATCCCGAAACTCATTTTGCTTGATTTGCAATTTTTGCAATGATTTGCCTTTTGTATCAAAAAGATTATACATCTTTTTACGGCTTAAGAGTATTCATCAAATAATTTATTAATAGTTATTGAAATTTATGTAGATTTTTTAATCGTTTAAGACTGAAAGCATGTTTTAAAAATAAAAATAAAAACTCAAAAAATTAAAAATGTCTGTGTCTAAATAATTTAAATGGATTCATTACACAAAAATATGTTATTAATTTAGTTTACATTTTATTCATTTATAATTTCATTTTAGTATTAACTATTATTATTATTTATTATTTTTTATTTATTTATTTTTATTTATATTTTATATATTGATTTATTTATTATTATTTATACATATATTTACTGATTTTTTTAGAACAAGAAAATATCCAGTAAATAGATACACAATTCTCTCATTATTTTCTTTCACTATTTTCTCTCAGTGTTTTCTGTACTTATTTTTCTCTGCTGAGTGTGTGTGAATATTTATTGTCAGATTTTCGCCTTGAGGAGGAGGAGGAGAAGGTGGAATCATCATCGATAACAAAGCCTGTTGACTGTTTGGCCCGTGCCTCCCCTCCCCACCCACAGTCTCCCCTCTCTCTCTCTCTTTCGCCCACTCATTTTTCTTTCTTTCCCTCTGCCTCTCTGTTGCCTCTTTCTATAGCGGCCCTTTCTTTGCAGCCATTTTTAATCCTTTTGTAAGGCGACACATTTGAGAAATTGACTTGGCCTTCGTCCCCCCCACCCAGCCCCCACTCCCACACCCCCCACTCTCCCTTCAATTGGCTTCTGTTTTCAGTGACTTTTGTGTTGGCTTTTCCTAACAATTGAACCTTTACTTTTCTTTGCTTAACTTTTTATTTATTGTTTGTTATTTATGCCTCTTGGCCCCTAAGGCTTTTCCCCATCTCCCATCTCCCATTTCCATTCCCATTCAATTGTTTTTCTTTTATTCAAAATTCTGTGATAATATTCGCGTGCCTGTTGTTTTCATTATTTTATAGCCACTTGTAAAAGTTTAATTATTGATGGAAGACGGCAGGAAGGAAGGAAGGAAGGTCCTCGCTTACCTCCATAGACGACGCAGGTGACCTCCAGGCTGCCGCCCTCTTCATAGGGTCCAGCCCTCGAATCGATTCTCATGCGGCGTTCATTAAAGATATTCGGCTGCATCGGTGGCACTGCAGATACAGAACAAAAACAGAAACAGAAAGGTAATGCCATTTAATTAGTTTAATTAACAATCATTTAGCAACGAATCAAAGGGAAGCCCTTTTTCCGATTTTCCGGCAATGATTTCTGACATTCGCCAGCCGCAAATCGGAAACAATTTTTACCCGAGATTTTCAACTGTCAAAGGATTCGTTTTGCTTAATATATATATATATATATGTGTGTGTGTAGATTATACTATTTATGGGCATTCGAATAATAAATTGTAAGTTTTGCGGCTAACCAGAAAATCATTTCAGCTAATTTATGTGCAACGCGTGTTTGCTCTCTCTCTCTCTTTCTCTCTCACAAAAAAACAAATGTTAATTGCTTTTATAATTGTTTCTGGCTGCGAAAATATCTGTACATATTTATTTATTTATTTATACATATCTGTGTGTGTTTTTTCAAGTGGAAAATTGTTTGATTGAGATACACCGAAAATGGAAAAGTAAGCTTTGAGCTTTGTTAAGCCCCGCCTGGAATATCAGGGAAAATTATCTGCGGATTTGGATAGAGATTGAATTTTCAAACATTTCGATAAACGATTGCTTTTGTTTGCCTATCGAGCACATATTTATCACATAAATGTCTATAGTAATCGATATCGATAGGGATTACGTATCGTTTCGTAAATATTTCACAAATATTTTTTAATAAAAATTTGGAATATATTTAAGTTATCGATTTGTATCGATAGCTGATAAAACTTTCAGACAAACACTAAATTTTAATTATCAATCAATAAAAAGGAAATTATTATTTCAATCGATAAATTATCGCTTTCTGATTGACATCGATAAATATTAGAAAAAATTATTATTAGAAAAATTATCTATCCATAAATAATCATTTCCCGAGGGTGTTATCGATAAATTCCAGGAACTAACGCTCAACAATTCGATTTATTTAAGCCACAACTTGTCACCTTTTCCGTATATCCCCTAAAATATCGCTTAATCGTTTAAAAATCGTTTGCAAATGTGTCATCCCTATCAGTATTTTGTATACGCACCAACAACCTCCAGATTGACATTGCTGTTTCGGGTCTGCGATAGCTTGAAGTCCACGCGACAGCGAAAGTTGCCCGCATCCTTCTCCTGCGAACATTTTCAATTATAAAATTCAATGTTGCCCCTCGCTCTGCCGGGAATGGAATGGACTTACCTTAACCGGATTTATAGTCAATTCCGCTGGCTCCTTGTGCGTGCGAAAGACGGCCCGATTCTCGAGGACCTCCTCGTCTCGCCAATGCGATGGTGTGCCCGCGTGGGCACCACGTGTGTCATAGCTGTCCAAAGCAAGAGGAAAAAGGATTGAGATGTAGAGATACACAGATACAGAAGGACTTTGGCTTTGACCCTACCTGTAAATGGGTAAATTATTCTTGTACCAGACAACCAGAAGGACTTTATCATCGGGCAGACTGGAGCCCACATCGCATTTGATTTCCGCCGAGCTGTTCACCAAAACACGCAGAATTTCCCCATCTAAAAATAGAGAGAGAAAAGAAACGAGTTGAGAAAAAGTTGAAGGAAAATTCTTTTCTGCCTTTGGCTGGTGGCAAAAGAGAAGTGAAGTCAATTTTTGTGCTGGCAAATTGATTTTCAAGTGGGTGCCGCAACAATTTGTCAAATATAGAAATAAATTGTTCTACGCCCACAAACAAGCATTTACGCCCTCTCCCCCGCCACACACACACACACAGCCATAGTTATGAAGTGGTAAAGATTTGCTGATAAACTTGTTTTCTGTCAGACGAAAATATGAAATATTTTCTTATTTTCTGGCAGCCATTCAACGGATTTCGGGCAAAGCTTTTGGCAAACCAACCAGAATGGGTATCCCCTCCCCCACAGTACCGGCTCGCCTCCTCCCCCCCCCTTTGGCCGCTCTCTAATTAGCCAAAATCTGACCAACTTCGCTGCATTCGCACCATTTGGCTAAGCTTTAAAATATCGATCGATCTGCGGCTGGAAAAATGAAAACCAAAACCAAAAATAGCCCAAAAATTGTACAAACAAAATCAGAGCAGCAAACGCTAGGGGAGTGGAGATGGAGATGGAGGCGGGGGGTGGGACAATGGAGTGGCAGATGAAGAGAATTAGAGAGGGAGATGGGCAGATAGTGCGATAGAGAGAAAGAGAGAGGGGAGGAGGTGGTGCGGCGACAAGCGGTGCGGCGGCGACCACCGCATAATGCTGCAAAAACAAAACAGCACGGGAAAAAAAATTACAGCAAAACCCGGCAAAATCTGCCACACGTTGCAAGAGGCGAGTGGCGAGTGAGGGGCGGAGGGCGGAAGGGGCACGCTGGCTAGTGGTACACAGAGAAAGAGTGATGGCCAGGGGTTAGTGGCAAAACGAGGCTTAGGGGTGATTACCCAGCCACATGCGGATTACAAAATGGCCGCCATTTTCGTGTTATGCTCCTGGCGGACGCCTCTACTCCTCCCTTCTTTTTTTCTCGGTGTGTGCGTGTGTGTGTGTGTGTGTTTATGCGGTAAAAATGCAATGGCAAATGCGTGTGGCAGGGAAAAAACCATAGAGGCAGGAAAACTCTGGCAGCAAAAGCAAATACGAGAGATTCTAAAAATATAGTCAGTGAAATGATGGACCCAGGGGAAACCCTCTAACGATAGAGTTTTAGTGACCCCATAAAAGGGAGCTAGAATTGGAAATGTATTCAAAAGGGAGAGGGAATCCTTTAAAGGATCAGAGACTATTGGAAATAGAGCAAAAAGTGCACGGCCTTTGCGAGGAAAGTCCTTTTAACTGAAGCGTGTTTGTGGTTACAATATGTGGGCTGGTGAGATCTATGCAGAAATGTACTCTTTACCTTGAGATTTACACAATTACGACTTGCTCACACGCACATTTTCGTTATCTGGTTGGATTTGTGCCTCTGATGCACGTATTTTCTATAATTTTGGAACTAAGGTCACTTTTCGATGTTTAAAACTTGAAATTCTATTGGAAAAGAATATTTCTCTGACAAAAAGAGAACTTGAATCATTCTAAAAAAATATCTTATGTTGCTTCACGCACTTTGCCTAAGCTTTTCTTAGAAACCAACCATCTAGAAACTGCTCAAGGCCTCCATCATTGTGAAAATTAGTAAAGAAGGCAAGTTTTTCCTGGAAAAACTGCCAGAAATTTAACAGAAATAGCAAGGCTCTGACTTTTGGCTCCTAATTCCACATACACCCCCACACCATTCCAATCTATTCCTTAGATCCTTGGGGTATTTGGGGGACAGCGACAAGTGCCACAAATGGCAGCAATAGCCAGCGTCACGTCTGCACCTCCGACTGCCTCTCAGGCACCCAGTGGATGGATGGTAAACGCCTTTGGCAGAGCTTTTGTTTCTAATTTTGCACTTGTGTGCGCAATGTGGCCGCAAAAGGCCTACACGTAAGGAGCCCCCCCACCCCCACACACACACACACACCACAGAGGCAGAGAGTGAGGGAGAGGGAGAGAGGGCCTCGGGCTATACTTCCACTTTGTGTCGTTGTCGACGACAAGAGCGAACCTAAGCGTACACACAGACAACAGACAACAGACCACCGCATGATAAATAATCGATAAATTATGTGGACACATGTTTAATCTAGCATGAAATGGAATCATTTCCCTTCAATTTGTTGTTAGCCAGGCCAAAACGGGGGGCCAATAGCAGTAGCAAAAAAACAAGCAGCCAACAGATGTGTTTTAGGGGGGAAATGGCAGGGGGTGGTAGAGGGGAGACCTATTTAAATATAAATAATGATCAAATTATAAATGCCAGCGAGTGTCGTCTGCTCCAGTCCCCATGCCCCATGCCCCATGCCCCATGCCCATGCGGCCATACGTGAACGGACAGCGTCTCGTCTCCAGACGTGGAATGATTCATTCGAATGATTCATTCATCGTTTGTTTAATTGCATGCCAAACATTACAGGCCACAGGCTCGAAATGTCCGAGCAATGATGAAAGCGACAGACAGACAGACAGACAGATAGAGAGAGAGATCTGGGCTCTGTCTGTGTCCACTGTCTACGGCCGTTTCTTAATTAATATTTTATTTCATTAGGAGATAGGCCATGAAATGCCAATGTCATGTGCAGCACCACAGACCACAGCCTCGGCCTCGGCCAGCGCTACAGCACAGTCACAGCCACAGCCACAGGATGGAGACACAATTTAAAGGAAGGCTGGCAGCCTTAGGAAGGAGCCGCCTCTTCATTGTGGAGCTTAAGATTTGCCAATAACTGCACTCAAAGAAATACAGAGCTGGAATTTTAATATTTATTCCGGTAGATTTTTACAGAGAAGGAGAAATGTAGTTTTTTCAGTTAAATTTTGACTTTAGTAAAAAAATAATTTAATCTAAATATATTTCATATTAAATAAATTATATGTTATAGTTAAATAATGATTAAATTTAGGAATATATACATATTAAAATAATAAAAAGTTAAAAATATATAAAAAAAAAAAAAAATAAATTTCTACAAATATAAAACAATATAAATAAATAATCTACAAAAATAATAAAAGTTTTAAAATATATACTAAAAGTAAATAAAGCAAAAAAAAAATAGTTACAAATAAATACAAATATAACACAATATAAATAGATTTAAATAATAATTAAAACTATATTAATCTACAAAACTAATGAAAATTTAAAAGTATGTACTAAAAGTAAATAAAACCAAAAAATAGATAAAAATAAATACAAATTTAAAAGAATATAAATAAATTAAAATAATAGTAATAATTTAAAAAATACTAGAAACCAAAAATTAAAAAAAATTAAAAATATATACTACAAATAAATTTTAAAAAATATATAAAACTAAAATAAAAATATAAAACAACAAAAAAAATAAAATGGTCTGCATTTATATTTCTTAAAACATTTATTTTTAAATCAAAATCAAATTCTATTTAATTTCCCTAGATTTGTACCTTAAATCTGTATAATTTACGTACAAGTTGGATCATATCTTTGTCTCAGAGTGTATCCTTAACCGACTCTCTGTCAAAAGCTCACTCTAAAGCCACTTGTACCTCCATTAACCGCTTAACTTTGTCCATATTTACATCTCTACACATCGCTCTCTGCCTGCATATCTCTACATCTCTCTATTTATTCTATAGTTCCATCTCTGGGACATTCCTTGTGCCTTAATTATGTGCTCAAGAGTCATGCCCATGCTTCCATGCCGTTCCGTACCAAAAAGTTATCCCAATTATTGTCAGGCCCAGCCCACATTCCCTCATTGTTTTGCCTTCAGACAAAAGCAGCGCCCCAGCAGTAGTCCCCCCCCCCCCCCCCCCTCGACACTGACAATGATCCTTCATGGTCCTTCCCCCCACCCCCTCGCCCTGCTCCTGACTCATTTGTGGGCGAAGGATGCCTATAACAATGATGCCAGTGCCAGTGCCAGTGCCAGTGCCTTGTAGTTTTTGCCACCCCCACCCCCCTCTGGGCACTCCCCACTGTTTCCTTTAATGTAATTGAACTTTTTTCTAATTGACACTTGTCACTGGCAAAGACATTTAAAAAACAAACACAAGAAGAAATAAACTTAATTTTGACGCATTTACACATACATTTATTTCAATTTCCCTAACAACAAAAGAAGGAAGCAGCGCACACAAACACAAACGAAACAATGGGGAAAGCTCACACAGATACACACACACACACACAGACACAGATACAGCCAGAGAGACACAGAGAGTGGCAAGCAGCAAACAAACAAATGGAAACTGAAGCAAGTTGTAGGACAATGAAAGGCGGCGAAACCCCCCCTCCGCCGCCGCCCCCTTGGTCGGGCAGGCAGAAGAAAAGGGGGCGCCACGAATCGTAGTGGTTGCAGTCACCGCAAAGAAAAAGCTGCAGGAGCTGCTGCACAGGTAGCACAGTGGCGTGTGGAGTGGCACAAGTGCCAGAATGGAGTCCTTGGCAACGACAGGCTGGCAGGCGGGGGGGTGGGGTGCGGGGGGACACAACTAAATACAAAAACCACGTGACAATGTGTTCTCCCTCCCTCTCTCGAAAGAGAGAGAAAAACCCAAAGGGGGGGGGAGTACCTTCTGTTTGAATGCCAGACATTACTACGGGTGCTGCTGCCACACACAGTGGGGGGTGCCAGGCAGCCAGGCAGCCAGTGAAGCAACTTTGTGTCGCATTTGCCACATTCGCAGAATGGCAACCGCAACACTGGTATGCCCCTGGATGATGTTGCATCAAGCTGTGACGAGCAGCAGCATTCGACAAATGTGGCAGATGCTTACCAGATAATGGATAACAAGGATAACGATTGATTCGGGATCGAATCAAGGAATGAGGCATCGCACTTTAATGGGTTGAGCCGCAACCCAAAGTATCTTAAAGTTACCTTTTGTTTCTCCTGCTTTTCGGGGGGAGGGGGGGTGTGGCCTGGGAATTGTGGCACATGTCGGTGCACTTCGTTAAATCGAATAACAAGACACGA